CAGCGTGGTGGACTGCGGGGCTGCACCCGGGGCCTGGAGCCAGGTGGCTGTCCAAAGGGTCAACTCCAGCGGGACAGGTGAGAGCCAACGTGCCCCTAAATAAATATACAGAACCAAAACTTAATGTAAACAGAAGGAAATGAGAAATGTTCTTGATTGGTGAGTATGAATATAAACACAAGGATTGAGCAGAGCCTTAGATCAAGCCTGTTTGGGATTTTTCTGTTTAAAATAGGTATTTGGTCCACTCACAGCAGTTCTTTCATCACTATTAAAGTGGTGTCTTTGGTGTGAGTTTTTGTCTACATCCTGAGGGCATATTTGCTTATAATGCTGGGCTTTATCTTATTTAGAATTTATAAAATAGTTATTACTCAATGACTCAAGATTAATCAATTTTTTCACCGAGATTAACTAACTGCAGAGTCATAGATTTTATAGCACTTAAAATTGTAGTGTGGCCTTCAGCTTAGTTGTATGAAAGGCGACAAAAACCCAGCATATTCATTTCTAAAATCCTCCCCAAAAATGGCTTCCATTTAAAAACCGCTTTGGGTTAGGTCGAAACCGAGTCAAACTAAATGGACTCAAGTTGACTGATTTTGATGAACAAAAAAAGCAACAAACTACGCTCTCTGACAGCAGATTTCAGAAGTGTTTACTGAGCCCGTTTGGTGATTTGACTACAGAATCGCATCCACTTTTCATGCGGTGCAGCCTGAGGGCCAGTATTGGTTGCCAGCTTTGCTCTGGAGCCCGTCCACCATCCCCTTCACCAGGGATGTGCAGACGCTCTACGCCTTCCTGGAGAGGTGCTCGGCGTCGGCCGTGGAGGGGCTGGAGGCGAGAGAGGGCCCCGAGCCGTACAGCTCCCTCTGCACCGCCACGCTGGCGCAGGCTTACGTTTTGAGCAAAGGTTCTCCAGAGGTTTCCAAGATGACCCTGAAGTGCTTCCAGGAGAGGGGCGACTCCACCCAGGTGCTGTCCAGGCACTTCATCCGGATCAACACGGAGGGCCAGCAGAGCGTCCTGCTGACCTCGCAGCTGGTCGCCGTGCTGACGCTGCTCATCGGGAAGAGAGCGGCGTGCGGCGTGCAGGAGGGAAACCCCTTCCTGTTCGCCAAGCCCTCCCCACCCAGCCACTTCCTGGGAGAGGACTGCGTCCGCTCTTACTCCAGGAGCTGCCAGGCCGGCGACCCGGAGCGCCTCACGTCGGCTCGCTTCCACAAACACGCAGCCAGGATGTTCCAGATCCTCAACCTGGAGGACGACGAGCTCGGTCAGCTCGCCAAGCTGCTGGGCCGCGACGTCCGGGCCGATCGGGAATACTACCAGTCCCCCGAGGCCGCCGCCGAGCTCGCCAAAATCTCAAAGCTTCTTCTGGCGATGGAGAAAGGTTCCCTGGAAAGATTGGAAGGAAACTCCCTGGAGGAGCTAGAGCTCGAGGGTAAGAGTCCTCCTCAGGGCACAGCAGTCTATTTGTTTATGAAAATCAATAAATATTTTTTTTATTTTTTTTTCAAGATAAACTGGAGCCTGATGCTGAGCAGAACAGCTCCTGAAATGCTGAGGAGGACAGTGAGGACTCAGATATTTTATCTCAAATGAGCGGTATGTTTGTCAGACAAGGCGGTAGACTTTGAGGATTATGTGTAAATATTGAATCGTGCCTGTTGTGATTTTTCTGGCTTTTGAGCTCTTTTGCAGAAGAAGAAGAACCCCTGGACGGGCCGCTGACTCCGGTGCAGGATTTCTTTGAACTGGACCTCCTCACAGTTTTCTTGAATACCCCTGGTATAGATCATAGGCTGATGAAGCACAATTCAACACCCTCTTACTTTTTCTCAGTGACCCCAAACACTCCATTTATTGTCAAACTCTAATGTAAATCACTAGCATCTCTGTCTACAGCCTCTACTGGTACATAAAGTTTCAAACCTGAGTTGAAAGATGTTGGAGGTGTTTCTGCGTCCAGGTATCAATGATAAAAAAATATTTCTCAATATTCTTGTTGCGTCCTCATCGGGGTTCAACATTGTCCATATTATCTTCTAGTGATCTCACTTTCAATTAAACCCTCTTTTTTAAAAAAAACATTTTGTTCCTGCTCTGCATCCAGGACGTCTCTTCTTTAACTTGTCTTCTTCCAGGACTTTCTTGAGCCATGGAAAACTAAGTTTGCTTCTTGATCAGGCTAACAAACTCTTGTTGCCATGGTTGTGCATCACAACAAAAATGAACTGAAAATTTTAACTATTACCAAAACTACCATAGTCACCAAGAGAAGTCATTCCAACAATACAGCATTCAAACCATCGCAGAAAAAAAGGCTAGCAGAAAAAAATCTGTCAGAAATCTATGTTTTTACAGAAAAAAGCACATCTGAAGACAAGTAACTAGAAGCCAATTACTGCATTCACTGGAGTCTGTCTGCCCCAACATGGGGCCACTCTGGGTAACAGGTTTTCTACCTGGGAGGTGCCTTTTTCTCCCTATTATCCGTTTACTGCAATAAGAGACAGTTTCTTACCTTGTTGCACAATATCAGTTGAACTTAACCCGTTTTTGCACTCCGTTCCAATCTCACTTAACATATTTAGTCTAATTACCAGCAGGCGCGGGCCTCTGAGAGGATCTTGTATACTTCAGGGCTGCTTTCTCAGAGACATGCGACATTTTGAGAGTGTTTGCAACAACTAGCAGCACTGCATTGTTTATTACCGCTTTTTTTTGTTTGTTCAGGCTACAGACCACCTCAGAGGGAATCATCTTATTGAGTGTAATTATTAAAACTACTTTATGAACACAGATATTGCAAACAGTTACTGTGATTCCCTGAGACTCTCTTTAAAATGAAGGTATAGCATTAAAATGCAAAAGAAAACAGCTGGATTTCAATAATAATGTTGGGTTGACTTCCTTGGTGGCCTTAGGAACGATTTGATGTGGTCTTCCTATTGTGTTTCTCTCATACACAGAAAACAGCCAATTCTTTAGTACAATAGTCAGTCTTTCTGAATTTACTGACTGTAAAGATTTAAGTTCTTAAAACTATCTCCTGAAGACAATTGATTCAGGATGGAGAGGGCGTAAGTGGTCCAAAATGTCAATAAACCTGTGACCAATCTGTTTTTTGTGTCTTTTCAGCATATTAAATAGATCGATACCAGAAAAAAAAAGAAAAAACCTCATAGCTCTCTGTTGTTTGTCATTTTTAAAACATTTCTTGTGGGCTCTCTAAATGCCTCCAGTCCATCACCCCACTTTGATGCAGTTTGGCATGGTGCGTCAGATTCCCAGAAGGCGTCCGCAGTTCTGAGTATCATCATGACCCATAACTGTCAGCCAGCAGCACGCGCAGAATGCAGGTGGGTGAGTCTGGTCCCGCGTGTCTGTAGACCAGCTCCAGAGTCACACCAGGCTGTGGGATTCCGGCCCCGGCCTCTGATGTCCGTGTCCTAAAGGAACAGTTCCTTCTTAGAGCTGCCTGGTTCACTGCTGACACCCGGGCAGAGCAACGCCTCGCTGGCCAGGTGGCATGGTGGTAGAAGAGCCCTTAAGACTGCCAGAGGGCAGAAAACAAGCGCGAAGGATCTCTCAGACTCCTCCTGTAAACAAGAGACCTCCAAGGAGATCTCGCAAAAAGCTCCAAGTCATCATCTGCGTACTTCTCGTAGAGCTGTGTGAGAGGTTCACCTTCTTTGGGATCGTTTGTAACATGATTCTCTTCTGCACGGTGAAGCTGGGCTATGACAACTACCTGGCAGCGACGGTTAACCTTTGCTTCATAGGAGCCAGCACCCTGACCCCCGTTCTGGTGGGATGGTTCGCAGAAACCTGCTTAGGACGGACAAAGGTGCTCTACTTGTGTGCCCTCCTTCATTTCTTTGGTAAGAGACAGTGTGATCCAATAGTGTAACTTTATGCTAAAAGGCTGTGGGGATTAGTATGATAGATTAGTACATGTGTACAGTGTGCAGCAAAAACCTGCAGCTTCTTCCATGATCTTCTTTTATAACTGCACTCTGATTTAGGAACAGCCATGCTGCCCGTGGTGGCTTTTCCCTTTGAGGATTTCTACATCGACACTCACCATATGACCCATAAGCTGGAACCTCGGGAGCAGCAGATCTTGTTTTACACCGGCCTTTTGGCTGCTGCGCTGGGCATCGGAGGCATCCGGGCCATCCTGTGCCCCATGGGAGCCTACAGCCTGCAGGGCTACAACCAGCACCAGCTCCTGTCCTTCTTCAACTGGTGGGTGGGCATTTCTCCGGTCATAACAATTCAATTGTAACACCTAATTAAAATATTTTTTAATTCATTTTATCATAATATTTGGCTGACTTTGCTTTTGAAACAATAGACTGGCCTTCTGATGCTTTATGTTACTCTGTGTCTATGTTACTATATAGTATTATTATATAATCATGTAGCTATGTTTAATACAGTTATAGTTTTATCTTCTTCGTTTGTCATTTTAATGAATATACAAGCACAATTTGAATAGAAATTGTCTTTGACCTAGTCAAATACTGAAGTTAATGAGCAGTCCAAAATTTAGGGGTTTATTCACAGGAAATAATAAATGCTTACATTCAAGAAATTACCAATTTCTGTGACATTTCTTGAAAGTTTGATTATTCGTCATAACCCTCAGAAGGTGAGGTGAGGTTGCATTTATTTAATTTAAGACCAGGAAGGGAAATATGATTTTTTAGCATGTCCTCATAAGTTGAAATAGAATGTATTTTCTTTTTCACGGGATTGATACACTTAAGGGTGAACTGATGTCCTGAAATAAAACAGAATGTCCCGTGTATGTTAACACTTGCTTTTGCTTCAAATCTGTTTCTGTCACAGCTTGCGAGTTAACATTTGTTTCTGTACGTTTAGGTTCTACTGGTTGGTGAATCTGAATTCCATTGTTGTGTTTTTGGGCATAGCTTACATCCAGCAGTCTGTGGCCCAGAATCTGGCCTTCCTCATCCCTTTCACCTCTGTGCTGCTGGCTCTCATTGCCATTCACATGATGCGCAACAATCTCACATACAAACCCAAAAAAGGTAAGAGAGGCTATACACTATGAAACACGTCTGAAACTCCCCAGACAAACAGAACTGAAACTTAACTCTTTTAGGTGGATCCCTCCTGACTACGCTTGGAGTTTTTTTTAACTCCATTAAAATGTGCTGCCTCCACTATCGTCACTTAAGTGGGGACGTGGTGTCGTGGCTGGACCGGGCGAAAGAGAACAACGGCGGCCGGTACAGTGAGACCCACGTGGAGAATACCAAAGTCCTGGCCAAGCTCTTTCCCCTGTATGGGCTTCAGCTGCTGTACAGAGCCTGCATCACACAGGCACGTTACGGAAACTCTTCAGGACAAAGCAAGAAAGAGGATCGATTCTTTCTCTTATGCAAAGAGGTTGTGAATGTTTGTTTTTTTATTTTTTTACAAAGATTCCCTCAGGTTACTACATACAGACGATGAACTCCAACCTCCACCTGAACGGCCTCCTGCTGCCCATTGGGGCCATGAATGTGATCAGCATCCTGCCCCTGCTGCTCTTGGCCCCGCTGATAGAGTGCCTGACCACCTACTCCCTCTCCAAACAGAGAAGTCTTCTACCTCCCGCAAAAGTCATAAGTACACGACCCCGCCTGTCCGCACACAACCTTTTTTAAAAACAGATTTGCCTAAATGTCCCTATGTTTCTCTCACACCCCTCCCCCCCCCACCCCTCCTGAAATCACAAACCCCGTTCTTTAGCCCTCTCTCTCATAACCCCACCCCCCTGTCCATCCTCCCCCTCCAGCTCTGGGCCATGCCTGTGCCACTCTGTCTGTCCTGGTGGCAGGTTTGTCTGAGCTGCACAGGAAGGTCCACCCCCTGGCGGAGCAGACTCTGTCTGGGAAGGTTCTGCAGGTGTCCTCCATGCCGTGTTTCCAGCTGGCCCCTCAGTACATCCTCCTCGGCGTGGCCGAGGCTCTCGTCATCCCCGCATGTGAGGGATTTGATCGCTGTGGAACACTTTGAACAGTCTCTAAGTCACTCACTCAATAAATTTGCTGTGACTTCCTCTCTGGCAGGTTCACTCATATCCTTCCAGCTGACCCCGAGCCACATCAGAGGGATTTCCCTGCACTTCCTCACATTATCCTATGGAGGGGGCTGTTTCCTGGGGGCTTTTTTCATTCAGCTAGTGTATTTTATCTCTGGAGGTAATTTTTTGTAAAAAAATACCATGTTCCTTTTTCCTTCCACGATAAATAATACTTTCATAACGCTTATGTGACAGGTAATTTCTATCCAAACACGCTGCCTGATGGGAATCTGGAAAGGTTCTTCTTCCTCCTTGCTTCACTGATGGCGATAAATACTCTGGTGTTTTGGAGAGTATCACGCAGGTACAATATTATCTCTAATTTCCAAGTGACTTAAGGGGGATTATTTGCCAAATATACAGGTAAATGATCCCCTATCTTTAGGCCAGCTGCAGGTCCCTTCTGTTGGATTCTTAACTGCTAGGAACTTTGCTAATAGATTGAGATTCTCAGAACTTTTCAGGACTGCGATTGTGACATTATAGTAAAGCTGTTCAACCACCAATTGATACTTTAAATGTTTTAGGTCAATTTAGTAAGTTTCAACTTTTGTATGACACTTCAGGAATGCAGTGTTTGCTTTACTCACTGTCATTAAAATACAAGCAAGTAGGAACATTGCATTAAGGGGTGAACGCAACAGTATGAGGTCGATCATGCTTTTAAATATCTGGCTTTAGGGAATTGTGGCAAGTGTTCCTGCCAGCATAGTCTTCATAGAATCACGGGATGATGATTGTGTAACTTTGTGTGACAGCTGGGGGTAAGCACTAATGTATTAAGCTGTTGTTGTCCAGGTACATAGACCTGAGTGTGCGGGGTAAAGCACTGACCACCAGCCTTCTGACTGAGAAGCTGCTGTATTACAAGGCCACTCTGCGCTTCTACGACACCGTTGAGAACTTCTCTGTCGACTCGGTTTTATGACAATCGCCATCCAGATGTCTGCTGTGAGCGGTGCTGGCACTGCCTGTTACTTTGTTCATTTGTAACAAGAATGGTTTTGGACTTGACTAAAAATCAATAAAAAAAACAAGTAGGCTATCTATGAAACGTGTATAATTTTTTTGACTGGCTAAACCTCGGCAGGGAGGCAAAAGAAACCTATTCTTCGGAAGTTTGTGCGTAAATACACTCACAGATCACACACTCGACTGATATAGTTTATTATGAGTTTAAACAGATTAGAGACATTTAAAGATATTAGTCACATTGCTTTGCTCACTTTTATCAACTCCTTTATCATTAGCCTCACAAAAATGCAACACTTTTAAGATAACAAAAAAAAAGCTTTACTACAAAATGAAAATCTGCAGGATTGGTTTTCATTTGTGTAGGTTGTTTTTTAATACTGGAATTTAACATATAGATACAGAAAACCTAATGTAAGGAAGGCAGCTCTATCTGTCTCCACCCTTTACTCTGGGCTGAGTATTCTAACTGAGGCTCCTCGGGACACCATGAAGCCGGGGTACAGAGGCTGGGAGAAGGTGGTCTGAACCCTGTGAAGGAGCCCAATCTGACCAGAATCCGACACACTGTAAAAGGACAGAGTCCCGGCCTGATGGTTCAGATACACTCCCAGTGTGGAGGAGCAGGGGTTTGGTATCTTGGTTTTGACTTCACCGTGCCAAAAGGTACACCCTGAATTTGAGAGGGAAATGCACCAGGACTGGTCGTTGTAACCAAAGCAACTTTCTTCCAGCTTTGCTCCTTTATAGCACACAGCTACTTCGACTCTGGGCCCTCTCCATTCAACCTCCCAGTAGCAAATTCCAGAAAAACCCTCAGAGCACAACACTTGATCATATTTGGTAAACCTCTCTGGGTGGTAGGGGTACTTCTGGGCTTTTTTAACCCAGGTCACCTTCTTGTTTCCCTCGGAGAGCATTAGGTTTTCAAATGCAGTGTGAGGATCCAAACTGAGGGAGCAGGTATCTGAAATATATGGAGATGTTATTCAGTATTTCCCCCTAAAAGACTCAGTTGAAAAATAGATTGTGCCAGCAACTCACACATGGCTAACTCTTGTCTTGTCTTTGGATCCTGCCCAACTTGAACTGAAAGGAGAGATTGGATTCTTAACAGTAGAATGAAATAAATGAATTCACAATCTTAATACTTTTGTATAATGACATAATCTTACATTTGTCTGATAGCTCTTCAATAGTGTTTGCCATGATTTCCATTTTGTCTTTCAAGTCTGATATCATCTTTGTCACAAAGCCAAAATAAGCATGTAGCTGGGCGTTTAAATCAGTGGACTCCAGAAGCTCTGTGCAGCCAAAAATGGACTTATATCTCTAAAAAACATGCAAAAAGAGAAAGTCCTGTAAAATTCAACCTCACATGCACAGTGTTCAACATAGTACATAATAAGTAAATGTATTTGTTTACATGTACCTGTAGGAAATGTATATGATCATCAGTCAGAGACAGCTCCTTCAGGTCATCTTCTCTCTTCCTTAGATCACCAATCTCTCTTTCAAGTTGATCTATGAGTGCCTCAGCCCGTCTAACCGCAGTCTTCTCCTGATCTCTGATCAGTCCCTTCATTTCAGAGCGCCTTTGGTCGGCCAGCTGGACAATTTCAGTGTACACCTTTTCATTTTGATCAAGCGCCTCATCCCTGCAACACTTTGAATGATTAAAAATAGTAAAAATAATTAATTCACAGGGAATCACAATTTGCATTTACCGTAAAAAAGAAAAAGTTACCTGCAGTGTTTTCATGTTCTGTTTCAGTTGTTTCAGTTGCCTCTCTTTTTCTTGTATTCCTTGCTGATAACTTTGCTTCTTTTTTCCAAATTGTTGCTAGATAAAACAAACATGCACAGAAAGAAATCTTTAACTTTTTTTAAAAACTGAACAGAACATATTTTCTGTGAAACACTTTTAAAATAAATCGTACTTGTTTCTTTTTCCTCTCTGCTGCTGCTGAGACCGTGTCATGATTTTTGTGCTCATCCATGACACAAAGCAGACAAATGCACTGCTCGTCGGTGCAGCAGTAAACTTCGAGCAGCTTGTCGTGCTTAGAGCAGATCTTGTCCTGTATGGAGGCTGTGACTTCCACCAGCTTGTGCCTTTTGAAAGCAGCAGACTCGTAGTGAGGCTGGAGGTGTGTGGCACAGTAAGAGGCCAGACAAACCAGGCACGACTTGACAGCTTTCAGTTTCTTCCCACTGCAGAAATCACACTCCACTCCTTCTGGATCAATTTCTTCCTTCCCGGGAGCGGCGGCTTGTTGGGCTTCTGTCACGTTTACCATCAAATCAGCCAGCACGGTGTTCCTGTTCAGCAGGGGTCTCTGGATGAAATGGTGTCTACACTGAGGACAGCTGTAGACACCTTTCTGATTCTCCTGGTCCCAATAGCCATTTATACAGTCCATACAGTAGCTGTGGCCACAGGGAAGAGTCACAGGTTTCCTCAACACCTCCAAGCATATTGAGCACGACAAAGAATCTGCCACCTTCCTTCTCTCAGCCATTTCTTCCCTGCAATGCAGAAAGTGAGGGGAACTTGCACAATTTACAGTGAGTTACTTTCACTTTCTATGAAAACAGAACTCATAAAAAAGGGAGTGACTTTGTCTCTTTCCATGATTGTGCTTTACAAAAACCTCATAGCAAAAGAGCTTTTGTTTGTTTTACCTCTGTTTATTTATAATTTTAATGTTAAGTTTTGTCATGTCTGATTTTATTTCTGACTTAAAGAAAATCTGCTTGTTAGGTTTACATTAAAAAAAATCACTGTTCTCATTTAACAACAGGGGCCAATTTTTGATTGTGATTCACAAATACCATTTGTCTCCACTGAAATACATGCTTCCATATTTCACTTTTCCAAATTGTTCCAACTGTTTTTGTACTTGGAAAAGAAAAAAAATCAGCTTGCTGTTTACATTTATACAGTGCCAGAAATTATATTTAAGCAATATTCATCTTTGCTCTGAAATACTTATATAAATTATCATGCTATTCTATGTAAACTATTTAAGTTGAATGTTCTTCTCGTGTTGTGATGTAAGAAAATGTGTGTTCAGCTTTAAGGTAATAACCGATAGGGCAGCGCTTCGCAGTAACCATGGAAACAACAGCAGCATTCGGGCCCTTGAGCGGGGGATGAAGCGAAGTAGTTTCCTTGTGGAAATGTTGTTTTTAGCACAGGCTGTCCAACAGGATGGAGTTACCGGAGACGGTTAGAAGAGGGCTAGAGGATTTCTCCCGCAATGTATTATTCGACCCCAGTCGGAATGAGCCGTTCTCAAAAGACGACAACACGTTTTTGCCTCACGGTACACAACGCTAAAGAAAAACGCATTAGCATTCACGTTAGCATTGATGTGCCAACATCATACTGAACTGTGGGAACCGTGTTTGTTGTCAATGGGGCTGTGCAGTTTCTCGGCTTCTTCTTGGATTTTCCCATCTTTTCATGTTATGTTCTGTTGTCTGTTTTTCCAGACAAACGAGTTCTGTCCAGCTTGCAGCTCCAGATGTCTTTGTACTTCAACATGTGGTTCTTCCCCTTGTGGTGGATCAGTGAAACCGTTATGCTTCACCTCAAGGTACCATCGCTGTTTTTCACCTGTATGTGGTCTTATTCCTTTTTTTAGTCATTGTGTCTGTTTTTGTTTACGTTTCCTTTTGCACTTTTGAAACTATTTCCATTAACTGCCACTTAGCTGCATTTGACCTGACATTATCAGATATATTCCAAAAGTTCAATGAATCAAAAGGCATTCCCAGTTAATACCGTCAACCTCAACAATGTCATCTTATATGAACATTAAACACAAATTTGTAATACTGTGATTGTAATTTCTACCAGTATCCCGCCTTACCAGACTACTACAAGTTCATCCTTGTGACTGTTCTTCTGCTGATGACTCTGATTGAGGCCATCAGACTCTACCTCGGCTACGCCGGGAACCTCCAGGAAAAGGTGAGACTCTTCAGATAGGCCCAAAGACACAGCGGATTTAAAAACGTCCTGAGCGTAGGACCGACTGACACGAGTGTAACGTGTTTGAGATAGGTCCCAGAGTTGGCTGGTTTCTGGCTGCTGAGCATCCTGCTGCAGTTTCCGCTGATCCTCTTTCAGCTCTTTAACGAGGCCATTCTCATCCAGCCTTTGGAGAGGGGCGTCCACATAGTTCTCGCCATATTTATAGTCACACAGGTACGTTTATGTCTCTGCTCAAACCTGATGTAGCATTACCATTTCCACTTTACATTCTGGCTGTATTTAAGCTGATCTTACTGTATTTGTAAGTTTTCGTTTAGTACATGTGACTGATGGAGTGGGATGTGTTTTTCTCTTTAACCCCTGAATAATCCAGGCCCTCTCTGGCTTTGTGGCCCTGCGGGACATGGTCAGACACACACAAAGCCAGTTTCATCTCCGACAGTTTGACTGAATTTAGAGACTTTGGCGTTCACATGTGTCCTGGAACGACACTTCCTGGCCACCAGAAGATATTCTCACTCTACACCTTCAGAGACTTATCCTTAAAACACTATTTTTTTTAAATGCAGTATATGATCTTTCTATGATTGATGATTAAAGAGAATATGTTTTAACATATTAAAGTATTTATTTTATGCACATCTAATGGAATTATTTTGTATCTGATTTAAAGGGAATACATATTTTTTCCTTTGGGCACAGGCACAATGACATTTTTATATGATTCACTTCCTCTCTGTGTGGTTTCAGGGGTGCAAGCTCTCTGGATCTGCTCACCAAACACTTCACAGGTCATCTTTGACAGATTCACTGAAAAAAATTCAACAGTGAGGTCAGCTAACAATAATAGCTTAAAAAATATGTATCTTCTCTTACTAAACTTAGCTGTCATGAAAATGCACTTGTCCTAATAAACTAACCTTCAGAAAGTTGTAGGCTCTCATTGCAGCCTCTGGTTTTGGTTTTCTCTGTTGAAGAATCCTCTGATGCGCCATAATGTCCCACATACCACAGAGAATTTCTGCCTCTGAGATTATGCCGACCTCTGGACTTGTTAGCAGAGGAAATTGTCCGCAGGCATTTTGTTGGAACAGTGGTTGGAACTAACCTGACATACATGAATGAGGGAGAAGCACCTGTGAATCTGAACATATGTGGCACGTGCTGTCGATCAGTTAAGACTAAACGCGCTTGACAAATTTACCTGCAAGGTGCAGTGATGGCAGGTGGGAGCTCTGAAATCGGAAGATAAATGTCACTACAAAAGAGCTGCAGTTTGAGGGAAGCCCCAGCAGACTGGCAGACCCTCTGAGACTGACCTCTGCTGAATTTAAAGGCAGAATAAACTGGCTGGCGGCTCAACCGCTCGTTCGAATCTAGGAAATCCGTTGGAGGTGGAAGGATGGCGCTCAAGTGCAGCATCTGAGGGGAGCATCTCCACCTTCTATCAGTCACTGAGTCACCTGTCGCAGGAAGCCAGGCATACATCACTGAAAATGTCCTCTGGGTTCCTGTGATTCTGCCTTCATCTAAAGACTGTTTCCAAAGTGGTTTACAGCTGAGACATACTCACCCGAGGGAGGGGACACAGATACTTTTTCCTTCTGATGCAGATAAGAGCTCCTTAGGGATTCCTCAAAGTCACCCTAAAGCCCAAGTAGTCACATTTAGTGTCAAAGTAGAAAAACATGTTGTGCTACTCTTAATTTCAAAAGTCTGCCATCTTTTGTTTTTCATTGTAAATACATTTTTATGAATAAAGTATTTTTCTATTCCATTATATGATTAAACATTTGCGTGCTGTCGTGCAGAATGGAGAATGGGAACACTCATGTCTACCTTGACGGGCTTGCAGCCCTGCCACAGTGTCACCTGGCTGACCTCACCAGTGTTAGTGGTGGGAGGAAGGACCCCCGTCTTTCTTAGCCAATTTAGCTTTAGAGACAGAACTTTTAAAAGTTACAGCTCAACAAACATCACATCTTTCTCCTGCGTGTCTCTGCCCCTCTTAAACGTGTTTCCTTATCGTCGTACCTCCCACTTCCTTCTGTCAACAAACTTCTTCTGGATGCTGTCTTTCAGATCATTGTCACTGTGCGGGTCCTGCAAACACCACAACCATCAGCTGATATATTCACTCATTAAGACGCCAAGTGCAAACCATAATAAGTTTTAGACTTATGATATTTCTGCTGCTGATTTGCAGGACCTTTGACTGTGCGTTATCTCTCTCTCTTTGCAACCTGTTCCTTTCTTTGCGACTCTTCAAGCGTTTCTTTTTCTTCTTCAGGGGAGTTTCCTGTTCAGGAAAACAATGTGGGCATGTGGTAAACTGCTAGAAGAGCCAAGCATTAGCCTTTCAAGGAAAATGATCTAGAGTTGGATGTGACAGAATACCTCTGGAGGGACGGATTGGGACTGGTGCAGTATATGAACTGGAAGCCCATCTGAATCTGAACTGTTTGAACCGCTGGTGCTGTGAAAACAGAGCAGAGATATTTTCATGTTCCCGCTGAATGACAAGATGTTGTTCTATCAGCAGTAATTCACTGGTGTGACCTGCATGTGTTTTCGTAAACTATGTATTATATTACCTGGTTTCCAGATCAGACACAGAGATGTGACAGTCAGTGTCCACATCTTTACCGATCCTTTCTCTGATCTCCTTCTTCAACATGGCCGTCAGTTGTGTCAAACAGTAACTGACCTGAAATAAACATGAAAAAGCACAATACACACATTTTAATACCAGATTTGGAAAGTTTTTAATATGTCAGCATCCAGGTATGTCCAGTTAAATAAACATTTCTTATCCTCTTGGAGTAAAAATGCCAGCCATTTCTACAAAGGCTGTGGTCTAACATATTGGTCTATCTCACCTTTGCTGGATCAGGGTCACAGAAGTCCAGCAGGGTGTCACAAAAGGAATAACCCAGGGACTTCAGGTCTCGAGTGGTAAAATGGGTTCCTTTTCTATCATCTAAAGTAAAAAATATGATGTTGCTGAAATTTGTGCAAGGTACAGATAGTCATATGAAAGCATTCAAAAAGTTTTTGCTCACCTAAAGTGGAGCCCCCAAAGGTGGCCTCCATTGTGTAGCTGTTTTTGATGCCCATTTTCCACATGACAATTCGACCAGTGCCCTCTTTGTTCCTCTGGACCCGGAATTTACAGCTCTTAAAGGAGAACTAAGGAGGACAAGCACTTAAGATGTTAAAGAGGAATGCTGAAAAAATGCCAAGAATACAGTCATAAGTCATATGGAATATTTTGGGCCAGCAATGACGTTGGCAAACAAACATTTGAAAAGTTACTCAACCTTATTACTGGCATTCTTGCTCATCATTAATGGAAAGACTCTCTCGTGAAGTTTTATGGACGTGTCCCCTCTGTTGTTACACCCATACATGAAAGCGTTGTTTTTACGGTTGTGGCCATGAAAATCACAGTAAAGAACCACGTCCATTTCATCCTTCAGTCTGGAGAGGATGCATTAGACACTGTGGTCAACTTTTGAGTTGTTTTTTTTTAGTTAAAAAAAGTTTTGCTTGAACATGGTGGAAAGTTACCTTTCCACCATGTTCCGGGTGTGCCACACACACGGAAAGGAATCCCTGAGCAGAGTCTTGTAGTTCCTGTTGAGGTCCCTGCCTGCCAGGGAGCAGCGGTAGTTTCCCACCACCACGCCATCTGGATTCAGCATTGGCACCACCTGAAGCACCACGGAAAGAAACAGCACATAGCAGGAATATACTTCAGGATCTGTATCTTCAAATTCGTTCCACACAAGCATTCTGCTGAATATCTAGTTGATGATGAGCACCTTGAAAACAAAATTATCCCTGAGTAGACGTGCATCATCTGAATCCCCAAGCAGAAAGTCCAGGAATCCCTCCATCATCCAGGACCCGTTGGTTTCCCCGGGGTGCACCCGGGCTGTCACCACCACAGCCTTCTTGTCCTTTGCCTCCTGCCTCCCCGCACCCCTAGAAGTTATTGTTACCACATAGACGGCATTCCCAGCAAGGCTTCGGCAAAGAATGCGCACTTTACAGAAAGAGGACACGGCTGGGTTAGAAGAAACCCGCCGGAGGTAGCGCTGCAGGTGGGAATAGGTGTAGGGGTAGCAGTGGGCCAGGTAGCAGGTGTCGGAGTCGTACGGGAACTCAAGGGTCCAGGTAAGGGAGTATAAGGTGATGGAGTCACTGTTCTCATTCACATTCTAAATAGACACATAAACAAGTTTTTTTTTAAGATGATCATTCTGGTATTATAGTTTTAAGTTAAATTAATTTGTGTATATTTCTTCATAACTTTTAAAGTTATCATGCTTAGTTTTACTAGTCTGTTGGTAGAATTAAATCTCAGTAGGTCCTCATTTAATTGACAATGACCAACTGGACTGCACACAATGAAGCTGACCCAGATGCCGCTTACCTGACCATAGCTCCGATAATATCTGATGTTGGAGCCTGCCCGTTGCCATCCGACACATTTCTCCTTAGCAGCCCTCTCAGAGTACAGCAGAGGCCTCATGCCATAAGAGTACAGACTGCTGCTCTTCATCAGGTTAATGATGGTGAAGCGGTAAGTCACTCCAGGCTTCATGTTCCTTACCCTGAAGTAAAACCACTGTGTGTGCTTCAGGGTGTACATGTCTGTACGCAGGGTGAGTTGATAGTCGTAGACACCCCTGACCAGACATACAAGAATAAACGTTTACCATGAGCGTGGGTGAAGGGTGACCAGAGTAAAGACACACCGGACTGTAGAGACTCACACTTGGACAGCCTTCTGGAGGTTCCCACTCTCAAAGCGTGATTCAAACTCAAGGGTCCTGTCTGTGTGACTCACACGAGATGTGGTGCTCTTTTTGAGCCCCTTGCTTCCTCCAGCATGAGAACCGGAGAAATAGGGGCATTTGGTAGCTTGAAAAAAATTCAAATGATTTAGAAAAACTTTTCAAAAAACTTATTTGTACTCTAAGACCTTGTCAAATTCATATCAAAGCGCGCTTCTTGGCAGCAATTACCAGGGTCGCTGCAATAGACCACCTGTCCCAGCTCCTGTCCGACTGACATGTAAGTCTTTTCATTTCTTGTGGGCTGATAAAAAGGCTCTGGCTCTGGGGGGTCCCACTCTACAAAAAAGACATTCTCTTTGTGACATTATGTGCAAATCAGAAAAATGCTACAAACATTTAACTAGTGTTCATACAGACTCCACGAATGATTTCTTCTTCGGATGGTTCCCATCTTTGATAAGTGGCTGCGCATGTCAGTATTGAGCCGGGTGACATAAAAGTTCGAATGAAAATTGAAAATCACCTATATGCTGAATGATGTCGCCGGTGACCTCACACTCGACGGGCCAACGCGGGCGGGGGATAGTTGGGAAGTTAATGAGATCCAATGGCGGCCTGAGACTCAGAACTGGCTGACCACCTTGGAAGTTTATGAGCAGCTGCTTGGTCCGGAGGGTCTGACTTATGGTCATAGATACTGTAGGAACACAAATCAAACCTTTTAGTAAAGGATTTGCCATGTTTAAATCTCCCCCTTTTACTGGCCTTTGCCAATTTGCCTTACTAAGATTTCATTATCTTGTAACACCATGAAAATGGGGTGACATAAGCATTTCCACACTCTATAGCATCCTTGAATTTCACACTCAGCTACAGTTGAGCTTTATTTCATACACACGATATCTAAATCCAGCCGAATTGTAAATACATCTTACAATGCCTCCTCCCCGCTAAGCTGTCCTCATCTTCCTCTGTGTTGGAGTTGTTGGTGACCGCTTTGTCGGACTGCAAGGTATTCCACAAATTCCTTATAGCTGAGAAATCCTTGGCTGATGCTTTCTCTGACTGAAAGCAAAAATATAAAGGCCTATGTTTCATTTTGTGTGTCAAACAGAATGAAAAGTGTACAGACTTGGTAAGTGTAAAACACTAGATTTAACACAAGGACTTCATAAGAGAAAACCAGGTGCACAATGAGGTGCAAACCACTGATAAAGCCACCAGAATGGACATACAGAGTTTGCTCAACAGCTTCTTAAAATAATGGGATGATTTGTTATTGGACGATTGTGGAATAACATACTTCAACAGATGAAACTCGGTTATATAAATATATAGATACAGCTAAATGCATAATGTCCGAAACATCTTAAGAGCACGCCGGTAACAAGAATGTTTCATTTTGCACCTCTGGCAGCTACAGACACCATAATTCTGCTCATTCGTATGTGTAAAAGACTTAAAGACTTCGCTGGATTCAGGTTCATTAGTTTACAGCAGTGGGAAAACGTCCCTCCTCATTTTCTTTGTGGCCTCCTCCGTGTTTTTTGAGGCTTACATTCCAAAGAGCGTCTTTACTGAACCCCAGCTTCACAGAAGAGAACATAAACACTCTACAACTATCTAATGTTGTCTGGCGGCCTCTTACCTCGTTCATATTTCTGATTATACCATGCTGATACGAGAAATTGAGAAAGTTTTCGTTTGGGAGAGAAAGTTTGCTGCACGGGAGAATCTGGTGGCACGCAACGTTGCCAGGTGACATACAACACTGTAGTTGTCATGGAGATGATACGGCGTGTCCAACAGGAAATACGTCATCAAACGGGTCAGAGAGCACTTAAGACGTGAAAAGGTAGCAGAATAAGGCTTTTGTCGATTTAACTAAATGTGTGTAGTTTATCTGTTACAATGTGTGAGTGTCCTAAGCACACATATTCATATAAAAGTGAAGATTTATTCTTAAAAAATGAATGAAAGTTAAGGTATATACATATAAAGGGAAATTACTTTGGAAAAAAAACTTTTTAATAACTTTTTACAAAATATACAAGTTCCATGACATTCCCTCCCACTCCATAAACATTGCCCATCAGATTTTTCATTGTATGTATACAATTGTAAAAATGTTCCTTAAAATAGACAATCCTGTGAAAGTGTGGACATCCACACTGGGTCTGTACAAAATGGTGAAATATTGACAAACTGCCTAACTCAGGACATTTGGCACATTTACAGTTGTGTATACAAAAAAAAAAGAAGAAAAAAGAAAGAGGACATTCAAACCCTTCTATGCGAATGGCCTGCCATGTCTCCATCATGAACGAAGAAAACTCCATCGATAGTGATACAAATATTGATTACTGAGGAAGGATGACTTTATAGTACTGGTGGGAGCGGGTTTTACAAACACTGCCTGTGCAGCTTAGGACGGGGGCTGAATGTTATGTGCTGCTCATCATCTTCCGCTTTTTGAGGCGTTCCCGCCAGTTGTCAGGAAGTGCCTCAAAATTGGCATTCTTTGAAGCTTTTCCCCTGGAGAACAACACACAAAACAACAGTTACAAAAACCAGTAGGCTAGCAGAGGTTATCTGAGAGGACATGCAGAGAAACGTACGTCACGAACTGCTGTTGCTTCCACTCTTCAATGCCCTTCTTGTTAAGCTGGTCTCTGTCTTCATCGCTGGAGCTGCTCTTCTCTTCCTCATCCAGCTCCTTCTGGATACTCTGCCATTTCTTCACTAGAGAAGGCATCTTGGTCTTACTCTTCTTTGACTAGACAAAGCATAGACAGGAAGGAGTAGAGAAATAAGTAGTGCCATTTTCTTCCAATTGTGACATTTAGATATGTAGACGGCTTGAAAGGTGAGCATTAAAATTCATCAATGGGTCCACAGAAAAATAAATATATCAAAAGCTTGAGAACTAACCTTATCCTTTTTTATTTTCTTTGTCTTGTCTACAGGGGGAGCTTTGGGTCCCGGAGGTTCAAAGGGTGGCTGGGATGGGGGAAGTGGTGGTTGAGGAGGTAAGGCAGGGACAGGTGGGACTGGAGGTTCACAAGGGACCAGAGGGGCAGTGATGGCGGGTACACCCCAGTAGGCAGTGGCTGACATCAGAGGTACTGCAGAAAGAGTGAAACCTCATTGAGTGCATGTTTGAAAGTTGTTGATGATCTCCATTTAAAATTTCAATTAGTTTTAAATCTCCCTTGTCGACGTCAAATATTTCACGTAATTCACCATTATACTTTGCACTTACTTGACCATGTCAATGACAAAGAGATTAATATTTACAACAATCAATCACCTACTAACAAACTTCTATACACTCTTAACAACATGTAACAAGCAATCTGTTTGCAATGAATACTCTAGATTGTTTGTATAATTTAGCCAGTACATCAAACTGCAGAAAAATAAGAGAAATAACATTTCTTCAACCATTTGTTTGTGGCAAAGATCATTGTGGCCGGTCATACTGCAAGTTGGAAAAGTTAATTGAAACCAAGCTAAAAGCTACAGAGGCTAACTGGAGTCCACAGGGCTGCTGCTGAGGTTGTGTAGTGCTTTACCTGCACTGGCAGCTGGCTGGGTGTACAGAATGGGGCTGCTGCCGATGGTAATGTTTTTATTAACCTGACCAGCCTTACGCTTCTGCCCTTTCCCCAAAGGGTTAAACGAGTCTACAATCTGTGGCAAAAAAAGACGATAAAAGTTAATACTCTGCGTATAAATTACTTTATAAATGTAAACCTGATTGCTCACACACCTTCATGCCCGCTGAGCCAGGGGGCAGAGGAGGCCTCCCACTGCCATCTTCCTCTGTTCCAGGGGCTGGGGGCTCATCGTCATTATCGTCATCCATCTCCATCTCGACCTCCATGATCTCTTCATCGCTGTCAGGGGGGGGAGGAGGTGGCGGCGGAGAGCCCGGGGGGAGAGGTGGGAGCGGGGGCGGGCTGTCAGGAAGCGGTGGCTGGGCTGGGGGCCAGTGGGAGGATTCAGCGGGCTGAGTAGGTGGTGGGGGGGGTGGGGGCGGGGGTGGCGGTGGCGCAGCAGAGCACGTAGTCGATTCTGTCAAAAAACCAAACAAGATTCAAACGAACCCCGAGTTCACATGCATACAGGGACAGTGAAATTTGTATTTTTTAATCCAAACATCTGAACTCTGATGTAAGCTAATGCAGTAATAGACTTACCTGTAACGCCACCAGCTGAGCCGGACGGTGTTTTGGTATCCCCTTGGCCCGGAGTTTGTGTCTGGATACCCTTACTGCCTTTAAGGTCCTCCTCCTTGTCCTCCTCTGTTGGAAACTCCCACTGGGAGGCACCGCTCCGGTCCCTCACATAGAAATACCGCCTGTGCTCTCTAAAGAGTGGAACAACAGAGATAGAAAGAAAGTCTCAATCATTGTCCTTGAAACTTGAAGAGTAGCATGATACCCTGGGACAGTCAGGAAAGGGGTGGACATAATGGCCACAGTAGGGAGTAAGATTGTTGGTATGGACAGCGGTTTTAGCCATCCAGAACGAGGGCCCAATTAGAGTGTGATTATGGGTGTGGATAGGGAACCCACCTTCCTCCAAGAATAAATAATGTAAAACAAATCATCTCTAGGTCCTGAAAGTAGCTTTCAGCAGCTCACATCATGGTTGTCACATTTGTTCTGTTTTTGACAATCATTTCTTCCCAGACAAAGGAAGACATCAGGGAAGAAACACCATCATCATCAATGTCATCAACACAACAGTCACAGGTCAGAAAATAACAATCATACAGTCAATCCATTTTACATCATTAAAAGAAAATGTAAAAAATTTAAAAAGAAACAGGAAGACATATGAAATAGAGTTGGTCTGACCTGCTGGATTCCCGTCAACGCTCCATCTTCACCTTTTATTTGATGCGTGACACTTCGTTGCTTCCAGGTCATCACTCTGCCTGCTTTGCATTGGTGGAGTAGTAGTCCTGCAAAGTGCAAAGCTCTCCCACGAAACCAACCCTCCTAACATACAACCCTCCTCTGAGTGAACCCCATACTCGGTCTACAAATGCTCTCGCAACGAAGGGCCCAGAAGAGTCAGTTAAAGGGACACGGAGTCCTCTCTGCGGCAGGAACATTAAACAGGAAGCAGGCTGGCCCAGGGTGGATTCTCCCTTTTTAGTTTACGCAGGGACTGCATCACAGACACCTGAAGAGTCTGGTTCTGGTAAGTATTTTGATCCACACGGGTTAAGCTTCTCCCCGAGTCATGTTACAAAGTCTGCGAACGCGGCGAAGTCACACTGTAAGGTTTTTTTGGGGGGGCGAGGGAGGTTATAGATGTGAAAGGTAAGGAGCGCGTACCTGTCCCAGTGGCAGGACCAGCCTTTAGGGGTGGCGTTAAGTTCGTAATATTTTATGTGTTCGGCAGCTTCCTGCAGCCTGCGGCGAAGATAGACCCCATTCAGAGCACCTTCCCTCCAGTCAGCGATCCGTGTCTGGAAAAGGGAAAAAGAGAAACATAAGAGATGAGTGAGACGAATGCCAAAAAGTCAAAAGGAACAAAGACAGATCGGCTGCAGGATACATGAGTTTGATGAAAGACTAATTACAGGAACTTTCCATAGCGACACCTTATGATGGATTATTATGAGAATTTTAAATATTAAGTACTGCTACACGCCTGGGCAAAATCATATGAATCAAAATGAAATGTTAAATATTTCAAATCTCACACTGGAATAGCTGCTACTGAGAGCTCCAACAGGAGCCGTCCTCTCACCTCAGTTTGCAGCAGAAGCAAATGAAAGTTTGAAATCGTCTTCTTGTTTATGCCCAGAAACTCCATCTTGCTGGTTAAGGTGTTAGCCAGTTCTCCAATCTGGAACTATATTAGTACAACATCAAGCCGTTGGTTAAAACACTACAACACCCGTTATAATTAACCACAGAGAAACTTTCTGAGCTCACCTTAAGCTCTGGAGTCTCAATCTCATCTTTAACAGGAGCTTTGGAATCTGTTTTATCCTCAGAATCGTCTCCTTCCTTGTTCCCTCCCTCTACCGCACTTTCTAAAACTTTGGGAAGACCTAAAACAGGACAACGAAAAAAAAACACTTGAGTATGCAGACATTTATTAGACGCATTTAAGCTTTAGTTGAAAACTGGTAGTTACCAGTCTCTGAGCTGTCAGGTAGTTCTGAGCCTCTACTGTTTGAATCAGGGCTGGTGGCACAGGGGAAGACAGTTTTCCACCGATTCTTCTTCACAGGGACACTACGAGACCCTGTGGCTTCTTGACTAGTTTCAGAGCATGGACTGGAGCCCCCTGCGCTCGCATCGCCCTCCTCCAGAGCCCGGAGCTCAGCCTGTGAACCAAAGCAGGGTTAAAGAGATTTTAGAATAAACAACTCCACAACTAAGTAATCAGGGATCTCATACAGAAACAGATTTAAACAGAAATGCTTGTTTCCATTACTAATCATCAAACTTGGAGAAGAATTCAGCTCCCACCTTTTTCCTCTCCAGAGCCAGCTCAAGGTCCATGGTGTCTTCCTCTGTCTCCTCATCAGCATCCGAATTGTCTCTCGACTGCTTCTTGGTGCCAAGATCTTTCTGAACAGTGACCGTTGAGTCTGTGTCCTGAAGTGCTGTGGCAGGAGATCCTGCAGGCTTCACACTTTCTCCTTCAGAATCGGCACTGTTTTCCGTCTCATCCAAACCCTTCAGCAGTCTTTTTCTCCATTTCTCTTCTGCTTCTTTCACTTCAGAAGGGATTAAAGGACCAAGGAGGGATGCAGCCACTCCCCGGCGTTCCTCCTCTTCACTTGTAAGGCCAACGACGCTCTCTATGACCTCCTATTAGACAAAATACAACAGATATTACGCTTAAACTGAGAACGTTTTTGTGGCACATAAAAAAAGCAGATTTCACTTTTCATTCGACTTACCTTCGCTTTGGTCTCCTTTACCGTTGTTTGGGCTGAAGCAGCGGCAGCATTTTCCTCTGTGTAGTAACCTGCGGGAGCTTTGCTATTCCCATTGACACTAGTGCTACTAGAACAAAATAACACAACTGACATCAGATTTTCAGAGCAGGAACAAATAAAACAACCTTTAACATAAAATGTGTAAGTAAAGGTGATATTAGTCCAAGCTGCTTCTGGATTTTGCTACCTGTTTGATTGATGTCCCAGGCTTTGCACTTGGTCGGCTAAATAGTGTGGCAGTTCCCAGGACACTTCATTGGTCAGTGTGTTCCAGTAGTAGTAGCAGCCAGAGTTCTCGTCCCACACTTCCTGCCAGTCTCCCATCTCCACACCAACTGGGATATACATGTTGAAATGTTTTGAAACAAGATCTCTAATCCAGCATGATTTTTTTTAACACTGAAGGCTTAGAACAGAAAATCCACGAAAGTTGCTTACCTCCAGCTAGTGAGTACTGCGTGTTGTACTCAAATTCTGTGCCTTCTCGATTTTCTCCATTACCAGCAGCTGGCTGCTGGGTTTTGACCTCAGGTCTCGGTGGGTTGGCATTTGGAACAGAGGGAGGAGCTACTGCATCATCTGTACTTGGCTGAGTTGTGATTGCATCAATTTCCTAGAGACAAAATGAACATATATGCAAATTATAAACAGGTTTTCAGTAAGAGGGGAAAAAACTTGTCTTCTAACACACATATAAATTATGTGACTGTCTTAGTCCAAGGTGCACATGCCTCATAGAAACTGTCCACGGCTATCATTCCTGGCTCAGCATTTCCTTTCAATTATACAAAACATACTACACTCAACTTATTTGAGGCAGTTTCTATCCTTTACATTGATACATATCATGGTGCTCAATTCAATAAAGGATGGATATCATTAATGCATACTCAGTGGTTTTTCCCTGTGAGATTTTTCTGACATGTCATATTTAAGTCTATAATGCAGTTAGACTTTGAAGTCAAAGTAAATCATGCGCATTTACACAATACAAACTACTCTAACATTTTATATAATGTGTGTTGTGTTATAATTAGTCATTTAGAAAAAAAGTTATTATAAATGTATACTACATTACAGCTCTGAATGCATCCAATCAGGGATTTTTAAGTAAATATACTCACAGCCATGAAATTTGCAAGAGTGCTGTCGATGTCACCTGGCTGGCTGCGTTTAGAATTTGCAACTGAACGAGAAGAGTCTGCAGCGTCTTCCTCATCACTGTCTTCATAGGCTCCCAGCAAGGACAGGCCCTCTACACCAAGGGACAATGACAGCTGTGTTAAATGGGAAAATCCCGTTGGAAGAGACACAAGAAAGCTGAAAAGACACTCGGCTCACCTGTGGCCTTCACCGCTGGTGGCCTCACGTTTGTGCGTCTCAGGACTCTGTGCCCATCACCATCCTGCTCATCTGATTGGGTGACAGCGTTTGAACGCAAAACGTTATTAATTAAAACCAGCTGATGATCAGCTAACACCAACATACCTACATTAAAAATGTTCCCATAGAAAAAGATCAGACAAAATGCAGTAATGTGTATATATAAAGGTTACATACGTCTGGACTGACCAGGTGTTTTGGTTGTAAAAAGTCCATAACAGCGAAACAAAAATCGCATGTTTAGCGTGCCAAGATATAGCTTATGGCTGGTTACTTAGAATAAAGAGCGTCGTTCTTGTGTAACAGTAAGAGTTTCTGCTGAAAGTCCATAATCTGCAATCGTGTATTTGAATTCAAATTTGCAACTAATTACATATAAACACAAGTCGTTGTTCTTTTTCAACAACAAGGCCCATTTCACGCTCCTGCGATGTAGCCTTTAGCTTTCTGGCTAATATGCTAACATATTACAAAAAGTACCATCAGATCCCGAGGGCGCCTCTTCCCTCTCTCCGGCATTCCCGCTACGGCTTCCAGGAGGCGAAAGCTGTAGGATTGTTCTTCGGCCGACGGCTCCACCTGCGAGACGACTTTTCTTCCCCATTATTGTCCGTGTCTCGGGGTCCCAGCTCCTAGCTCCAGCGTCGAGGTTCGGGGCGGACACAAAAGAAGTAGCTTACCTGGTTTCTCTAACAACTTCCGGGTCACAGAGTTGTGTTTTTGTACGCATCCGTGTCTAGAGTCTCCGAGTCTGTTCTTAGTTCCTTATGAGCTTAAACGACGTTTGGACTTGTCGGAAATAAACGTCAATGCATAATTTTTCTGGGACACAAAACTTATATGTTTATTGAGTATCTTTTCCGCTTTAACGACCAAAGTTGCTGTTACTAGCTCGAATTGCTAGCTCGAATAGTCGGACTCTGAATGTGTAGCTAGTCTCTGACATGGGAGGTGAAGATAAGCAATTTCACACTTTTGGAATGGTGCCACCCACCGATGCATAAAGATAAAGTTCCCACGCAGAGGCAGTCCACGGGACTCGCAGGAGGAACCGCGGTCCAAAGCGGTTCCAAAGGAAGGTCAGTGTCTTTCGGACCAGAGACGATCGGCAATACGATGGGGCCGGTTCTCCACTGGCTGCAGGATGTGGTGTCCGTCACCTTCCACAAAGCCCGCCGGACATTATTTCAGGCCGCCATCCTATTTTGTACCCTGATTCTGTTGCTCTGGGTGTCCATCTTCCTCTACGGGAGCTTCTACTACTCCTACATGCCCACCGTGAGCTTCTCCGCCCCGGTACACTTCTACTACGTGTCTGACTGCGAGGGCCCGCAGTCCGCCCTCTGCTCCTTCCCCACAGCCAACATCTCCTTCATGAAGAACGACAGAGAGCAGGTGATGGGCAACGGTCAACCCTACAGGGTGTCTCTGGAGCTAGAAATGCCAGAGTCTCCTGCGAACGAGCAGCTGGGCATGTTCATGGTCAGGATGACCTGTTACACCAAGGGGGGACAAACAGTATCGACGGTGGGACGGTCCACCATGCTGCACTACCGCTCCCATCTCCTACAAACCCTGAACACCTTATTCTTCTCTCCTCTCCTGCTGACCGGGATGTCCGAGCAGAAGCAGCTCATAGAAGTTGAGCTCTTCTCGGACTACAAGACGAATGCTTACCAACCCACCGTCGGAGCGGTCGTTGAGATCCTGTCCAAACGGGTGCAGATCTACTCCTCTCAGCTCCGGATCCACGCTTACTTCACCGGCATACGATATGTTCTGTACAACTTTCCCCTGACCTCTGCCGTGATCGGCGTGGCCACCAACTTTGCCTTCCTGAGCGCCGTCGCGCTGTTCGGATACCTGCAGCTTATTTGGGGTGGGCTTTGGCCTCCAGATCAAGTTAGAGTAAAGGTCATGATGGGGGACAACACCCGCATCCAGAAGAGGAAGGAGGAGGCTCGCAAGCGCATTGAGAGGGAAAATTCACAGAGGGATCTGAGCTCTGTGACTGACGTTGGATCTATGAATGGGGCGCATGACTTTCAGGGAAATGGTCTGACAGCGGAGTCCTTACCAGAATTTCCCTCTGGAGTCTCCGATGTCTCTGAGCCGGGGGCCGTGGTTCCAGACGGAAAGGGTGAAGAGTCTCATGACTCTGAGGAGCCCGAGGAGATGGGTGGTTTAGCTGTGACGAATGGATCCCTTGCATCCAACTCTGAAGAGACGGCCCTTCGACAGAGACCTGGACCCTGGATGAGTCTCTAAACCATAAAGTATGCAGCAGACGCAAAGCACTTAAGGAAACCCGCCGCTGGACGAACTTGATTTGCATGAGAATATATAGCCTTTGTTGTTTTAGCTGGAGCAGTACGACTTGCTGGATACCAGCTTACCTCTGTTACATTGACTGCTTTTCTTCACTGTTACAGGTCTATTGTTTGCACCATTTCTGTTCTCTGTCGATAACTTTTGGAGATGCCCCCATGTGAAGTTCACGCGCCTCTTCTTTCCCTCCGAGGCCCTTTTGGTATTTAAGAGCAATTTGATTTGGAAATTTAGCTCAGGAAAGGGGTATTTGTTTTTAACTTGCCAGGGGGACACATTTGTCAAGCTTGAGGGATTCATGCAATGTTATTCTTTGTCTTTTTTTTTAAATGTGTGAAAATACATTTTCCACCTCAGTGTAACTTCTGACTTGAAGCTGGGGGCGTTCACACACAGCTGGTGTTCATTCCATGAGAAGGTCTCTGCAAAGGGCCGTTTGATGTTACCCCAATGCTATTTATCTGTTTTTCTTTACCACTAAACACGTACTATTTTAGATGTGTATTTTAAGGACAATAAGTGTGAAACATGTCTGTATTAAACCTTGAGTGTACAGTATAATAGAGATAAGAGAAGTTACAGATGTTGCTGATACAGGACTCAGAAGGAAAGGAGTTTTGGGCTTTTGTTACGTCAGAAGTTCTGTATGTTATCTAACAGGATACGAGGCTTTGTACCAAAGATGTTAATTGAGGGAGTTTGTGAAAGTACATGAGTAGATGTTATTTATGTATTGAACAAATACAATAAACAAATAAATGGCCCCAGACGTCTCTTTCCTTACCTTTACCAAGCGTTTTTGCTTTTAAGACGGGTGTTTTAAAGTCGACTTTGTATAACTTAAAAACTAATTTGACTTGTAAAGTTGTAAATTCTTTCAATGTGCACAAATCTGCTTGATGTTAAGTGTTAAAAGAAAAAATGTGACAACAGCAGAAAAACTAGACTTTTTCTAGCAAGTGATAACATTGTAGCATAGCAGGTTATGCAAACATGAACCAAGTTGGTGAATAAAACCGATACCATTCAAAACAACACAAAGATTCTTACAGCAACACAATGATACAGTATCAGAATTGGCTTTTATTGCAGAGTACATTGTCTCATACAAGGACTTTGACCTGGCAAAGTCGGTGCAGTTTAAATAGAAAAGAGCAAAACAAAACAGAATGGAATATAAAATATAACATTAAAAAAAATTAAAGAGTATGTACATAAGGTGCAGTGGACTAACTTAAAATCAAAACTACTGCGCAGAAAGTCGTGAAGATACCACCAGTGAAAGAGGGGAAAAAACAAGAATCACAGCACAGCTTGTAGAGCTGTCGGGTCATGGCAGTTTTTATTTGGGGGCCAGGGCTGGGACGCTGTTCATGAAGGGGACAGCCGAGGGGAAGAAACTGTTTTTGATCCATTAAAATCTTTTTTATTTACTTTAATGTTTGTGCTCTGCTTAAGCTAATACAGTTTAAAGCTACATGCTGAATTTTGGCTTGGAAAAAGCCAGATCCTCACAGCTGATGCGGGTGCATGGATTTACCTTTGGCATGGCAGGTGGGAGAATTCAGAATTTTGTACATAGTACAAAATCAGGCAAAAAAATTCTGTATTTGATCATGTGTTCAATACAAACTGATGGAAAACTAATGATTCCCAGATTGCTGCGTTTAAGAGTTAAAAACGAATGATATCATGTACCGCAGAATGCATTTGGACTTGGAAAACAGTTTCCCAGTACACTGGGGAACTACAAAGCTCCATTTATTATCTCTTTCAAGCCGGAAGCTTATGGTGATGATATTAAGGCCCATTAGCAGTCTTTGTTCAAAGCCACAGCCCCAATTTATCAGATGAATTATGCATTTGACGGGATAAGGAGTGCACTCTGTGACTTGAGCCATCCATCACTTGTATTAAAAACTGTTTTTAGCCACATCATGTGCAGATCCTATTTCAGACTCTATTGACACAATAATTGGATTTCTTTATTCTCTTATTCCCTGCACTAAATTCTTACAATTATCAAATGATGAGTTAAAATGTTGTCAACATGTTTCCTACTGACACGGTGATGGCACAGTAATAACTGCATGGTCATTTTCATGAAACTGTGTCTTTCTGTCTAGGAAATACAGAAAGTGAAAATACACAGTCCCCGCTGTACAGACATCATAATACTTGGAATTCTGCGAATAATACTGCAAGAAATCTGTCTTAACCATGAGACAGAATACCAAAGAAAAAAACCTAGATGACATCTTTTGATGTTTGTGAAAGTAATCAACAGTTTACTCTCACTGTTTTTGCAGTTAATCGTTTCAAGACATATAAGGTGTCCAAAATAAAGCAACATACTGGCATTCAGAATGCTCCTCTCGTGCAAGATGCAGTTTTTGGACTGTTGATATTTTGTTGGGCCGTGTCAGAGTGATTGGCTTTACCATATTTGGAGAAAATATCAGCAGTCTGCTTCAAGTGCTCCAGGACTCCAGTCAAGTGGGAGCCCCGGCAGCCTGGGCTGGCCACAGCTCAGGGTCACTTTGCTCTGTCACCTTAAAATCCTGTTACTCTTCAGAGTGAACCTCCACCACCTCGGCCGTGATCTCACTCGCGGCTTTCGTCCCATCTTCTTCCTGCTCGTCGTCCGAGTTGTCCGCCCAGCGCCCGACTCTCCTGACTCCTTCCCCTACCACTGGCGCGTTGATACAGGGGTTGTGGTCATAGATGACCAGTTTCAATCCCTGCAGATGAGAAAGGCCCGGAAACTGACGTATTCTGTTTCGATCCACATCAATGACGGCCAGGAAGTCCATTTCCAACAACACTGGGGGGAACTTTGTCAGCAAGTTCCCAGCAAGCCAGATACTTCGAAGTTCTTCCAGATACTTTAGTTCTTCGGGCAAACTACATATCTGGTTGTAACCGAGGTGGAGGGTCTTCAGATTTGGGAGCTCACAAATGACCTCTGGGAATTCAGTAAAGCAGTTTGTCTCAAGCCACAAGGTATTAAGTTCCCTGAGCTCTCTTAGTTCTCTGGGAAGATGATACAACCTGTTGTTACCCAGGTAGAGGATGTTGAGCTGGGGCAGCTTGCAAACAGCTGCAGGCAGCTCCTCAAAGCAGTTAAAGTCAAGCGCCAGCAGCTGCAGCTTCCTCAGGCCCTGCAGTTCAGCCGGCAGGCTGCTGAGGTTGTTGTCGCTCAGGTAAAGCTTCACCAGCTCGTCGAAGGCACAGGCGGCAACAGGCAGGCGGCGCAGCTGACGGGTGCTCAGGTCCAGCGTTCGGTCCAGCGGCATTTCCGTCAGGTCCCCCACTAAGAAGCGATGACAGCGCTCCGAGGGAATAAAGGCGACCACACTTCGGATTACATTGCCCATCTTCCTCTGAGCCTCTCAAGCAACACCGGCTCCTCACGTCTTTAAGCTAATGTCATGATGCTCCATTAACACTTCACCTCTGTCCCTCTGGATTCGTTAATCCTGTTGTTAAGACAAAACAAAACGGCAATTTGACTTAAAATAACTTTGCAACAACGTCACCCTGAAACGTGACACATGAAATACAACGATTACGATGCAACTACAGGTAAAGGTTGTGATGCTGATTTTGACAGACAGACGTTAAAAAAGAAAAGAATAAGGAATAATGATCATAAACATGATACAAAACTTACTTTCCAACGTGTTCCTGATTATGTTAGTGGCTCTCAGCATCTACAGTAAGCCGTTTGTTTGTTCAACTTAATGAGCAGAAAATGTATCACATTCCCCGTGCTGAGACTCCCCAGTGGTGTCCTCACTGTTTCTCAGCGGCGCTGACTTTCATGGCTATAGCAACCACTGGCTCTCTCCTCCCCATTTGTTCAGAATGACTTTCCCCCTTCTTCTCCAACATGACAGAGGTGGGAGAGAGAGACAGGGAGGGGCAGGGTGGCATGAAAAAGAAGAGCCTCAAGCTGAGAGTGCAGCGAAGGTCATTTACATCGTGCCATAATGGGACTGTGCCACTGAGACCAACCAGGCTGAGTTACCTACTTAGGTTGTAGTCAATTTTGAGTGTAGAAGACAGTTTATTTAGGAGGGGGGGACCATGCCGAAGCCGACAATTTTTTTCAGTCTCACACTGGGTTTCCCTTCTTAAACAATGGGATCTTTGTGCCATTCAGACATAGCTACTCTGAAAATCCCCAAAATACCATTTATATTGATTTGATTTTTCTGGGCAGGCCTGTTATTCAAATGGAAAATATTTTTTTTTATTTTTCTGTCTTTGGAAAGTCCTCCATTTAAACTGAACATAGGTCGCATGTCATCCCTGTCTGCATGAGGTGTGATTCTGTCCTGCTATCTTACATACCTTCATTAGGGCTATTTTCAAACCAGATAAAATGGGAAGGAATTTCATTCTCCTTATCAGAAAGGGCAGTGGTTGACCCTCATCTGCTTTCACTCAACTGCACAGACGTTTCCCCTCATACTCTCATTGCCAGACGCAAAAAAATAAAAACATAAACTGTGACAAAAGACGCCAGAAAGCAGCCTGTGACTTCAATGATAGACCCAAAATTTGGAATCTTCAAAACTTCCAGGAGCTTTTCTCCATTTTTTCACATTTGGAGATGGTCAGGAGCATATAGTAAATCTAACCTCTAGATCACACTGACATGTATTTAAAAAAAACTGAAATTAAAATGGAGGTGTAGAGTCCTCATCATCCCCCAAGTTTCATGTACTTTTTTATTAATGTATCTTGTGATCTTGATTGAATATGCATAACTGTAGCACAAAAATTGAATAAGGATAAAGGATAAAGCAAGATTTTGCCTTGATTTTACCTCTTCATGGCCGGAGATAACAGCATTATAATAATTTGAATTCATTTTCTGAAGTTTAATTCGCTATTAGTTTAAAGTGCCCTTTGCTTTCCTGGTAATCCATTTTTAACTTCCCTGTAACATCACGTCCACAAGGAAAGAGATTCCTGATAATGTAGTAATGTGACATCCAATGCTAATCAGAAGTGGGAAGTAGGCTTGCTTAACAAAAGCCGACTTGTCTACGAATTGTTTACTTTTAATTGTCAAAAGTCTACAATTATCGCAGATGAAAATACTACACCAAAACAATACATTTTACAATCCTTTGTCAAATATTAATCCAGTTTTATACAGCATTTATGCCAGTATATGTTGTAATAAGAGCAGAGTGCAATTGGGGCCAAATGTCATGTTTACAAGGAGGCAGCCACAGTAAATCATAGTTATCCCATAAAGCTTCTCACAAGAGTTTATCACTGGGGTTTCAGATGATTTAATATATGCCTATACTGATAATAATTTAATACTGTAACTTTATTTATGTCCCTGTATTTTTCCACATGTATGATTCAATGCTTGATTCAGTGCTTGCAATGAAGTAGTTAAAGCAGATACTTCCAAGGCTGAACTGGTATTACATGATCTGAATCTTTGAAACATAACACTGCAGGATTTAGTCTCTGATAGGAGAAACTGGTTTAGTTTTGTGTACGGAAGTGCTCCGCAGGTTGTAAGGTCAGAGGGTAAAGGCTACACCTCTTTCGACTGAGAGTACACACAGCCATCTTGGATCTAACGAAGCGAAGTGAAATTGATGCGGTGAGGGTATTTTACTTATTATTCGTCTCGCTTAACGGTACGGGATAGTGTAAATCTCTCAACCGGAGCCCCCCCCCCTCCCCATTTTTTGCCCCGTTTCGGTGAGGTGCGGGTCGTTAGCATTTAGCCCAGGCAGGTTGTAGCTGCTACTGCATCTGCATGCAAACGGAGCGTAAACTGAGCCGAGAAAACGGACAGCTGACTGAAGAGATATGGAAGCAGAGAGGGCTCATTACAGCCTGATAGCGACTGCTGCTTGGCCGCTAAATCCTGGTCATTTGTTACTGAAAGGTTGCCATACTTTGGTCCTCGTTTGAGTGGTACACCTGCAAACTGACACTAAGCACTGCTAGCTGGGAGCTCGCTAACATTAGCTATTTACGCTAGTTTGGGCTAACTAGCTTCTTAGCAGTGTTGCTGCTGTTAATGCTCTTAACGGTCTCAATTAACTATTTGCAGCTGAAAAGACATAAACAGTACCACTAATGAAAACGATGAATGGATTGTGCTGTCACCTGAATTATTTGTCAGCTATGTATGATCACAAACTACAATTCACGGTGTTGTAAAAGTTCAATGTTTTCATCCCATAGTCGTTATTACAAAGTTTACAGATACCGTAGAAAACTTTTAAAAACTAAATGAAGTCGTAAACTATGTCACAGTGAAGTGTAATGAACTTACTCATGATGGTTCATTTATACCAATCTTTGAATAAACACAACTTTGTCTCCATGTATTTTAAAAACTTCCTTTTTAAACAGCTTGTTTAACAGCTGAAGAGAAAACATGTAAAATATGTATTTACTTTTATTTCTACTTTTTGTTTGTTCACGTCAACCACCAGATACTGAAAGAGAAAATATCTGAAATACTGTACTACAAAAGAATTGTTCCATGCCTTTAGTAATCCAGGTTTTCTTCCCATATTTAGGAGCTGAATTATTTTTAGGGTAATACAAACTGGTTTCCAGTACAAAACTCAGATTTAGTTTTCAGTTTATGTCCTAAATAGTTGTTTTCTCAAACTCTACAAAGCTTTCACTTTCATCTGGGACTGCTCCATCATGTCTATGCTGATTGCCTTTTGTATTTATTGGGATCAGTGTTACTAAACGTAATAATTATTGTTTGAAACATTATGCATAAATTTAATTTATTTAGTAATTATTTAGTTTTTTTTTTTAATCCTCGCTGCTGTTGACCAAAGTTCAGCTCAGCCATGTTGCTCAAACTCTGAGCTAAACCTGCCACATCCGCACAGCCTGGCATGGAGAGAGAATGGGCTTTCAGGAAAGGGTTAAACATGCTGCTGTGAAGGGAATGTGGTTGATTTATAACTAACCCAAAAAAAACAACAACAACTGGGCCTTCATTTTAAACATAGAAGTCAGAACATGAACGCTAATATATCTCAGTTATCTCTCAGACATACTTTCCAATTGAATATCTTTTTATACTCTAAAAATAGTGTATTTTGTTGCATCATGGGATTTTTATGTAGACCAAATTTACTCAATAAAACACTTAATCTGTTTGAACTCCTCCGAGATGACTGTTCAGAATTAATCTCTGGAGTCCATGTGTCCGTGCTATTGTGGACGGTGCTTAGTTTGCACATGTAAAACCGTCATTTAGAAGAGAGTTCAGAACATATTTGTCTTTATATGTTACATCACTGTGGATTAGTAACAATGATATAACATAGTAACAATTTAATTTTGTAAACTCTCATGTATCCTGGCTGAGCTGTACCATCAGTTTAAAATATTTTGGGCCAAACTTTGATTTTTTTTTTTTTTAAAGGGAAATGTTTTCCTCTGCGATACGAGTTGCCAAAACTCATTAGAATGACTGCATATGTTGAAATGATGGCTTCTTCACAGTCTGGGTCAGGGTGAAAACTGATGAGACTGTAAAAGGTTTCATTTTTGTGTCTTTGGTTCAACAGAGGTGCAGGGGGTCAGCACAGATGTTGTCATACCATGATATGTACTGACCTGTGCAACCTGCTGAAAGAAAGTTAAACCAGTGTCTTTGTGAGACATATGTATGTCCAGCAAATGTTTCATTCGTTCCTTTATTGACCTCATGCCTGTGTCCATTGACTTGCAGAATGTTTAATCATGGTTTTGTCTGTCTTTAGGTGACAAAAGGCATGTTTGGTGCTAGAAAGAAATTTCCAGAGTTCGTCGAAGTAGTCGATAACGACTTCACTGATGAAAACATGTACTACAACCAGAATTCGATGTTCCCACATCGACCGGAGAAAGACGTGAGTTCTGTTCACATGTTACCCCAGTTGTTCAGTTTCTTTCTTAGAGTATTTAGATGACCCTGCCTTTAAATGTTTGGCTCCAGATGCTGTCCTCGCCGTCGCCATCGTCGTCTGGTCAGCTGTCGCAGCTCGGCGCGAGTTTATACGGCCCACAAAGTGAGTGTTCTCTGGTGTTTTTCTTTGCAGCTGAATGTGGCAGCTGTCTCATTCACTGCACTCACCAATGGTTTGAACGATCAACGTTCCGTAGATGTCGACTGGACCTAAAGCAAAGCGAGTCTCCTCTGGATTATCTCTCTGCTGTCTCTCTGCAGGTGCAATCGGCTTCCCGGTGAGGGGCATGGGGAACAGTACGCCTCAGCTAAACCGAAATCTAACACAAGGCACGCAGCTACCAAGTCATATCACCCCGACAACGGGTGTCCCCACCATGTCCCTCCATACCCCGCCGTCGCCGAGCAGGTGTGTGTCGGCGTCGCCTACTCGTCTGCACGGCTCGAGCAAAAGGGAAGCTCACCGTGTCTGACTGGCGGATGTTTTGACAGGGGGACATTACCGATGAATTCGAGGAACATGCTGAACCATTCTCAGGTCGGTCAAGGCATTGGAATGAGCGGCAGGACCAATAGTATGGGCAGCTCAGGGCTGGGAAGCCCCAACCGGAGCTCGCCCAGCATCATCTGTATGCCCAAACAGCAGCCGGCACGCCAGCCCTTCACCATCAACAGGTAGATGCAGCTAGCAGCACAGCGCACGGTTTTCCTTCTTTCTTTTTCATTCTAGGGGGACCATTGTTAAATTACCCTCAGTTCATCATTGGTTCTCTTCTGTTTCCGCAGCATGTCGGGATTTGGAATGAACCGCAATCAGGCTTTCGGGATGAACAACTCGTTATCGAGCAACATCTTTAACGGCACAGGTTGGTGTGTTTAACATAGCAGTCCTTATGGTTTGATTCACAAAAGCATCTCTACTGGATGGCTGCGTTTGCACAGATCATGAAATAAAAGCTTAAATATAATTCAAAGCACTTGTTTATCAGATACTCTTTTTCCATTCATAAAAACATATTTTTGAACATAACAGATAGAAGAACATCTTTGCTAACCATATTTTGATTTCAGTGGTATAACGAAGGAGTAATACTCTCTTTCTCATTTAAAAGATAAAATGAAAGTGTATAATAGTTTATCAAATTTGGCGTCGCAGTTGAGTAGAAGAGGCGTTAATAATTGTTTGTAGTTCCACTAGAAGTGCAACACGAATCACCTAGAAGTACCGTACACCACTTTAGAAAGAGTCCTAGATCCCCTGAAGTCATGGCCTGTGATGTGTTCTTACTCGTCCTTTTGGTCCAGACGGGAGTGAAAATGTAACAGGACTAGATCTGTCAGACTTCCCTGCATTAGCAGACAGGAGTCGGAGAGAAGGGACCGGAAACCCGACACCGGTGCTCAACCCGCTGACCGGACGGGCACCTTACGGTAGGCCACCACCGCACACGAGTTTCCCGCCTCCTCACTGGGTTCCAAGTTTCCCAGAGGGATTTGTGTCAGAGCAGGTGATTTCCCACAGTTGCTCACAAAATCCTTTGCTCTAATCTTTTGCTCTCATATTTCGGAAAACGACCAAGTTGGCATGGTGACAAAGCCATCCACGGAACAGACACAGGATTTCTCCATCCATAACGAGGACTTCCCTGCGCTGCCTGGGCCAAATTATAAGGACCCCTCGTTGAACAACGACGACAATAAAACTGTAAGTGACAGCCACCGCTGGCTCGGCAGCCTTTTCAGCAGGAGGCTTTTTTTTTGTGAAGACGAGGCAGAAATGGACAATATTCAAAATGTAGTCAATTGTTTTTTTTTTTCTTCCCATTTAGAACTTGAACTCCACAAGTAAGAACACATCCAGCACAGATGGGCCAAAGTTCCCTGGAGACAAGACGGCCTCAGCACAGAACAACAACCAGAAGAAAGGGATCCAGGTGTTGCCCGATGGTGAGACCTCACAGCCAATCGTATCGCTCCAATTCCTCAGAGACATCCCTTCTTAATCGCACAACTTGGGTGAGGCAGTTGGGCTCTCTACCCTGCATTTGGGGTTAGATAATTATCAGATATGCTACAGTGAGGAGACGCAAAGAATAATGTTCTGTGTTAAACTGCCTTTGATCATCGGTTTAAAGAAAAGCGTAATTGGCCGGTTTTGCTCTCCACTGTTTGCACAAATGATAGTTAAGAGATGCAGGGATGGTTTGACAGTAAGTATTTACTGTATATCACAGCCCAGCTGTGGGCCCGTGCTTTGTTAAAGTCGTTTTTTTCCTGCCGCTGCAGGTCGGGTGACAAACATTCCCTCAGGGATGGTGACGGACCAATTTGGCATGATTGGTCTACTGACGTTTATCAGGGCCGCAGAGACTGATCCAGGGATGGTCCACCTGGCACTGGGAAGTGACCTCACCACACTGGGACTCAACTTAAATTCACCAGAGTAAGATGATCTTTTTACCCCAAATACATTTTATTACATACATCCCCTTTTGTTATAGTCTTTTGTAATTCTCAAGATCCAAGAAACCAACTTAAAATAATTTTCTTGAAGGACATTTTTTTCATTGATCTTTTCAAGGTCTAAAATGAAACATCAGAAATATGATGTATAACACCTTAAAAAAATCCCAAACCATCAGAAAAACTCATTTTTTCCTCAGAAGTGTCCCCTCACATTTGATCTCAGAGATTTTTAGCAAGTCTTCTCCTGAAATGAATTTTAGCAAAAGGAATTTTCCTCTCTGACAGAAACTTGTACCCTAAGTTCGCGTCTCCTTGGGCCTCAGCACCATGTCGACCTCAAGACATCGGTAAGAGGTTTGGCTTGTACCCGTTTGCGTTAGCGTGGCTTTAAGAAGCCGGTTTTGGGCAAATATGTTTCAGTTTATCCGATTTAAATCGTAACTTTGCATCTGCTCTATTTTCAGACTTCCACGTTCCATCAGAGTATTTAACCAATATTCACATAAGGGACAAAGTAAGTATGAGCCCTGTGACAGCGCCACAGGGAGTGTCTGAAAGTTATTTACCCACCTATTCCCATGTCTCCAGTTGGCTGCCATCAAATTGGCCCGATATGGGGAAGACCTGTTGTTCTACCTGTACTACATGAACGGTGGGGATCTGCTACAGATTCTGGCTGCAGTAGAGCTGTGAGTACCTGGACAGTTTTCCGTTGGTTGTTTTTTTTCCCCGGTAATGTGCGCAGACAGGAAGTGTGTGGGTCCAGGCTTAAAGCCTGGCACTGCAGAGTCAGCCGGGCGCCGACAGCCTCAGTGGTTAGAGTAGCACGACTCACAGCGATGCCTCACAGTCGTCTCACTCCTTTCGCCAACCAGCTTTAACCGGGACTGGAGGTACCACAAAGAGGAGCGGGTGTGGATAACAAGAGCACCCGGCATGGAGCCCACACTCAAGACCAACACCTACGAGAGAGGCACCTACTACTTTTTCGATTGTCTTAACTGGAGGAAAGTAGCAAAGGTAAGAGTCTTCGTGCGGCGAAAAAGGCTCCCGTGTTGAGTTTACTGACCGTTGTTGTGGGAAAACTCTGATGGGAAAACTCTGCCTGCATCCCCAAGGAATTCCATCTGGAATATGACAAGCTGGAAGAGAGGCCTCACGTGCCAACGACCTTCAACTACAATCCAGCCCAGCAGGCCTTCTAAGGCCCAACCAGTCCAAAGGCTGCAGCTGTCCCTGCACACAGCACTGTTGTCCACCAGGGGCGCTGTGGCACACACAGCTTGGTTTTTATTCCTGGAGGATTTGGCTCTTTGACTGCAGGGGTCCTTGTCAACTTTAAAACTGTCCTGCCTTTCCGAATTTACATGCTGCCCAAAACACCAACACTTGTTCCGTTTTTATTCTTTTTGTTCCTTTGTTCCTCGTTTTTTTTTGTTTTTTTGGTCTTGTTTAGAGCAAGGTCTGTGTTATGTTTACGTCTCTGAATCTGATGCCTGTTTTCTCCCAGGCTGACCTTGTGGCACAGTGACAGAACAAAAGTTCCACCACATATTTACAGCAAGTGTTAAGAACACGAAAAAGGCGGAAAAAGCTAAGTTAACATCCTCGGACACAAGTGAAGGGGTGAAAGAAATGCAATGTTTATTGTTGCACTATATTTAGTAATAAAAGAACACAAAATTTGTTTGTGCTTTTTTTATGTGAACACTCCTTTATGGTTTCTTTTTTCCCTTTTTAAAGTAATCTAAGTTTTGGGTCAGAAAGCTCTGGTAACTTTCACGCAATTCCATTTCATCTTCATTTTTTCTTCCATTTAGATCCGTTCCTCAAAGTCCTGGATTTGCACTAACAGCTTTTTTTTGTTTTTTTTTCCGTGTCCCTCCGTCTCTGTAACTTCCTTACCAGCCAAACATGGATACAAATCTGGGAGACTACTTTGGTTTCCACAAATGTGGATAAATCCTCACAGACGCTCAACAGCTACACAACTTTGCTCCAGAGCAAACAAAACACTTTCCAGTCTTTGTTACGACTTTGTAAGAAATGTGTACATTTTTTTCTTTGCATCACATAATTTAGTATATGTATGTACGAATGTGTATATATGATTGCTATATATATATATATATATATATATACATATATGTAGGTATATATATATTTCATCTATTTTGGAAGAAACTTTGCCCTGCCTTGTACCTCATTTTTTTTATGAGGCGAGCATGGATAAAGATATGTGGATGTAACAAATTTCCTGGATCTGCTGGTCAGGGTGTCATACGACACTATGGGCACCTACATCAACATAATTCAAATAAAATGTCATTAAAGGAAAGGCCTGATTCCCAGCCTCCAAAGGAGAGAAAAAAAAGAAGTAAATGTGATCATCTCCAGGGTTTCGAATCCAAAGCAAAAGAAGGGATTTAATTTCACTTCTGGCTATTTGAACTGCAGACAACAGCAGCATTTCATAGGAAACGGAAAACTGGCAACAGAGAAAAAAAAAATCCAGACCAATCTTGTATTTTTTGAAGTTTAAAGCTTCTTTTCTTTGTATTAAAGGAGAAAAGGCTTTCCTGAACCCCTGTGTGTTGTTTATTATATCCATCTATATAAATATATATATATATATTACCACTGAGACATAAATGTGCAAAGTGTAAAACTTATGAAGTTTACAGTTTAAAACAACTTCAGCTCATTCACTGAATGTACAACCCATAGTTTCAGTCCCTCTAAAGATTTAATACAACCCCCTCAAAAACTCATGCAGTAAAGCGGGCATGTTTTATTGAGCATTTAGAGACAACAGAAGTTATTACAAAAATCACAGGGAATGTCAACCATTTGCCACATAATAAATTAAAAAAAAAAAAAAAAAAAAACTGAGCAGAAACAAAAAGCCATGTAATGAAAATCACAACTTTAGTACAGTTTGTTGTAATAAGTGCTGCGACCACAATATTATCAAAACAGTTGAGAAAGGCACATAAATGCATTCGTTTTACAATTGTTGAACATCAGTGAAACAGCTGGGTTTTGGCACGCGAAACATACGATGAAAAGATTCCCAAAGCTTCCATTAGAGACGTAAACGATCCATCTGTTCTACGGAAACCACAAAACAGGCAGCGGATGAGGGGAATTAAAACCAGGGTGCCCATCTTTGTAGAGACAAAAAGGCTTCAGACTATAAAAATAAATCTGTCTGTCCAGGTTAAGTGCAAAGAATCCTCCCTCCAAACCTCAGAGGAAACAATTTATATTAGTTACTTCAACAGACTTTGCTCCTGCTTATAAAAGCAACAAAAACTAAGTGAAATGATACAGAAGCCAGCAGAGAAACATGAGACTGGCATTGCTGTAAAAAGGAAATGGACAAAGTCACTTCGTGTGCTCACTTCAAAATACCATTTTTAAAAGAAGAATGCTGTTGTGGGCAGGAAAAGCACAATTCTTGGTATTTTACAGTGTTTGATCGTTGTGGTCTCCCACCGGCTTCCTTCGTGTGATGCGTCGCCCTCACTCCGCTCTTCCACTCACAGTTGGACTCACTTTGACACAATTTCGTTGGACGTGGAGCTTTCTGGTGAGCCTCCTGCCTTGGCCGCTTCTTCTGGAGGAGGAATGCATCAATGATGAGTTTTGACATTCAGACCTAATGATTCATTAATAGAGACCCAACCTTTCCATTTACACGAGAAAAGAAATTATCTAATGGAGCCCAGCACAGCAGGGTGGGCCAGTCTTTGCCTTTGCATAATTTAAAGTCCATTTGTGCCCACAGCTCTCTCTAACCTTTGTCTTTCTTCTCCTGAGTTTCCTCGGCTGCGGTTTTGTCGGCTCTGAAGAAAATCCGAGCGCTGCTCAGTGAGAAGTAAAGTAGCTCGAACTCCTGAAATCAAAAGAGATTCAAGAGTTGAGTTATTCATTTCAAATCCAGTCACAGGAAACGTGTCAGGAGCTTCAACTTGGAGAGGAAACGCGGGCTGCTTCACCTGGAGGTAGACATCCAGCCTCTTCTGAGTGAGATTCATGGTTTGAAGCAGCTTTTCGTCCTGGCTGGTGGACTGCACGTTCTGCTCCTTCACCACCGCACTCATCTCTTTCTTGTACTTATCTCGCACGGCTTGGAACCAGTGCAGGGAATCGAACTCCAGATACTGGTCCAGAAGCTTCAGGATGTATGCCACGCCTGCGAGAGAGGAGAGTCAGTGGGGAGAAAACAGAGCTCTACGCGATCCTTCAGCCTCTCCTGTCTGCTCACCCATCGCAAAGCCATCGTCCGTGAAGGCGGCCCCCGTTTTGTTCTTCTTGTTGAGTTTCTCTTTGCAGCTGATGGAGTGCTCCACAAAATTCACAGTCTGCCAGTGAAAAGCCACAAGTCAAACAAAGAGCTGTCGGGGGGGAAAAAAAAGGAGATCTGAGGGCGCTGCGTGAGGAGGGCAGCACTGACCAGAGGGGGGACAATCATGTAGAAGTTTCTCAGGTGCATGTTCTTTGCGCTGCGAAACTCCGGGGCAAACACGGCCACCAGCATCTTGAAGTACTCCGTCCCCTCTGCAGAGTTGCTGGTCAGATCACTCAGGACTGAATCCAGGACACTGGGAATTAAACAATGCAAAAGGTCACAGGTCACAGCAGCTTTCATTCTGGGGGCTGTGCTGCCCTCTGCTGGCCACACAGCAGATGGTTTGTCAATGTTTTACCAAAAACGATTTATACCATTAGAAACATTTAATATTTAATTCCAGGCCCCATAAGCCCATAAACAAGAGCAGTTAGAACGTTTCCTCCAGCCTTTACCTCCCCGCCTTCCGGGTCTCCTCTGACAGCCCCTCCTCCTTTACCAGCTCTTCAAAGTTGACTATGTCCTCCAGGTCTGGGACAAACCTGTAGAAGACGCAGACGGGTAGACTTTGTGAGAGCTGTCCGATAAGTCTTGGTCAAGCCATCACTTGAAAACATTTTTGTGTCTGAAACACTTTCTGCTGCTTCTGTTGACTGAAATAAAAACAACCTACACCCAGATTGTGTGTGGGGGACTTTCTCTGACCTGATAGCGCTGCTGCAACAGTGGAGGCCTCCAGAGCGGATCATTCGCACGTAGCCCATGGCGTTCCCTGAAAGAAACCCGCGTAAGCCTCTGCTGCCTTCGTCCGCGGATGAATGTGCGCGCTTGTATTTCTCACCTATTTGGCTGATGAGCTGCCTGAACTGATCCAGGTAGCTCTGTCCGTCAGGAGTGAGGCCCAGCTTTCTGATGCCTCGATTGAACTTCTCTGCCCGCTCAAAAGGATACTACAAAAACAATGAAAAAGCAGGCACACTTGGACCACAGTGGACAGAGACTCTGACATAAACATGTGGCCAAAGGGAAAGTATAAGCTGTGCGTCTGATTTCAGTTTTCTTCTACTCGAGGGTAAAATATTCAAATAATTCAATCCAGACTAAAGGATAACCCGACCTTCTGATCCGACTGGTCCTTGGTTTCTCTAAAGAAGCGTATGTCCTTTATGAGTCTGGACTTGATGTGTTCGTCGTACATGAACTGACTGAAGATGTAGAACTTCTTCCGCAGGAACTGGTAGGTGAAATTGACCTGATGGAAAAAGGGCAGTTGAGAAAGCCTGTGCTTGTTCCCGTCGGACAGAGATGGCGGAGTTCCTGGTAAACTCACTGTAGTGTTCATGATGCCTGTGCCGTGCGTCCGGATGGAGTTGGCGATGTGGCGGATGTTGATGGTGTTGAGATGCTTGTTGTTACTGGCCTTCTCGATGAATATCTGTCGGAAAGCGGCCACGTCAGAGCAAGTTGCCCACACAAGCAGACAGCGGCGCTGTGTGTGGGGGGGCGGTTGGGTTGTGGAGTCCTACCTGGTTGTTGAGGTTGTAGAGGTAACGGGAGACGAAAACGTGAATGTTCCTCATGATCTCCAGAACATCCAAACCCTGATGACAGACACACAGGGGACAGTTAAATCGACTCCTCCTCCTCGTGCTGTGGAGGTGGAGCCACACAGACCTGCTCCAGAGTCTGGCTGGGCAGGTGGGCCTCTGTCATTGTGAGTCCATAGCGCTGCGTAGCCAGGTTCCTCATCTCGCTGTACGTGGCCCAGTCGTGCAGAGCCACGGTGGTCAGGTTGTAGAAGGTTTTATCCAGGTAGTGGGTCACGTAGGCTGCGGAGAGCAATGAAAAGAAAACAAACGTGTCACCGTCACCAGCTTCCGTGCAGTGTTCCACCAAATTAATACATTGCCTTCTTTTAGAAGATATTAAAGGTCTCATTTGAAAGTTTCCAGATGATAAATGTTCAAACTTAAGCTTACGAGTCAGTGGTTTTGTGGAATGTCGGAAGGGCTGGCTACAATAATCAGTGTGTGCGGAAACCTCTTATAGGGATTTTATCAGGAGAGCCCTTTTTGAGTGATCCATGGGTGCGTGTTTGTTTGGCCGCTTTTCCTGCACCTTTAATGTGAATGAAGCGGTTGAAGAATCGAATGGGTTTGACGGAGAAGAAGTGGGCCAGGTCTTTCATGCCGACTTTAAAGGGGTTCCTGTCGTCCAGCTTCAGGTGGGTGTGGACGGAGAGTCGCAGGTCCTTCTCAATCTCCTTACACAGCTTGTCGAGGAGGTGCTACAATGGAGCAGGAAGGGAAATAATTACACTTTTTTTTTGCAGTGCACCCGTTGACAGAAGAGAAAAATACATTTAAAAAAAAACTAAAAAAAACTGCTGAGTGTATAAATTACTATTGTTGCACATGACGGGTAATTGCAAATAGTGAAGTATGAAATAAATGAATAAGTAATGAGATGACTGTCAGAGATAAATGATACAGTTTGCTGGCCACAGGCAGGAATGACTTCCCGTGGCGCTCTGCGGCTCAGCATGGTGAGATGAGTCTCTGACTGAAGGTGCTTCTGTGGGGGACCAGCAAATCATAAAGAGGATGTGTAGACATGTCCAGCATGGATTTTATTCTGGCCAACATTCTTTTCTCTGACCCTGCTGTCAGAGAGTCCTGCTCCTCTCCAACAGCATGCATGGCCTAGCGGATGAGTTTCTTAAGTCTGTTGGCGTCCTTTACCTTCAGCCTGCTGCCCCAGCACACAACAGTATAAAGGATGGTGCTAACTCATAGAACATCCGCAGCATTGTCCGGCAGATGTTGAAGGACCTCAGCCGCCTCAGAAAATAAGAGATGGCTTTGGCCCTTCCTGTGCAGGGCATTTGTGTTTTTAGTCCAGTTTATTGTCCAAGTGACAAATGGCACCCTCAACTCCTAATCGTTGCTGGTAAGCAAACTGGAGGGGGTCTAGAAGTGGTCTGATCATGGGCCGGAGCTGTTCCAGGATGAGTCTCTCCAGGGTCTTCACAATGTGTGGTGTCAACGCTACGGGGCTGTAGTCCTTGAAGCCACTGGGGCGTGGGGTCTTCGGTACAGGAACAATGCATGACGTTTACCACATTACGGGGACCCTGTGAAGACTCAGGCTCAGGCTGAAGATGCCATGGAGGACTTCACATAGCCGGGGGGCACAGACTTTGAGCACCCGGGGGGGTCACACCATCCGGCCTGCAGACTTACCTGAGTGGAGTCTGCCCGGCTGTCTGCTGACATGATATGGGGTCATGGTCAGTGTGGAGGTGACGGGAGGGGGAGGAGGTGCCATTCCAGAGAGTGCAGTCAGCCTGGGAGCCAGGGGAGGAGGTGTGAAGGGGAGACATCAAAGGAAGATGAGGGGCAGTGGAACGGGGGAGGGAGAGAGCCCTCTTGTTCAGGATGATCTTCACATCCTTTGTAGCCCACACCTTGTTATTTGGGTAACAAAGGACAGTCTTTGGTGGGAAATGGTGTCAACGTCCATGTAAATCGGGGACACAATCTGTGAGCCCATCAATGTCCTCTCCATGCGGGTGACAGAGCATCTACCAGCTGGTCACCTCAAAGCAGCCCTGCAGGGTCAGACAATCTCCTGATGGTGAGTGGTTGCCGGCTGGCTCTTCACCACAGGCGCATCGCAGGGGTCTAAGTGGGTCTAAGAATGGCTTTACATTGTTTAAGTTGAGAACTAAGGAAAACTGAAGGTGGAAACTCTGAGATTATCAATAAAATAAAAGTTTGATGAACAGTTTTTCATCAAACCATTTGTAAGATGATGATGGAAACCTCCCCAGAATAAGAATTGCCAACCCAGAAGAGAGAGCGATTTAGTCCCCTTTGTCAATTCCTCCCCTATGGTTGTTCATTTGCACTTGCCTCGTTAAACACATCCATGATCTCCTTGTCGTAGCTCTCCAGCAGCTGGTCGCACGACTCCATGTGTTTGGCATGCAGCATGGATGGCACGCTGTCCCGTAGTGCACTAAACATGTACTGCCCCAGTCAATGACAGACATCCAGCAGATGTGTGCAGCACCAGGGGAGCCGACCATCCCAAAAAGCAGGGTGGTTTAAAATAAATAAATAAATTAAAATAAATAAAAAATAGATTAGAACACAGAGTCAAACTGTCATTGCCTCTTGTCTGCATTTTGTACATCCAGAACTTCTCGGCTTACGTGCATTCGTGCAGCATCAACAGCGTTGTCGTACACGTCATCCAAGTAGATGGGAAACACGGCTCGGTGCCAGTAAAGAAAACTACAGTCACACTGCAGCTTGACCCTGAGAACCCGAAACAAAATAAGAAGTCTGCTTTATTAACCAACATGACCACTTCTGACGTGAACAAGGTGGGAAAAGATGACAGTTTTCCTGCTGATCCGGTCAGATGGAGAAAACCTCATCCGTGCGTTGACAAGACGTTAAACTTGACACGACAGGATTAAAGCAACCCACCTTTCACTTAGCTCACTAATCAAATCCAGCTTCTTCAGCACCAGCTGCAGGGGGAGCAGCTCCTCATCTTTGAAGGTTTTCTGGAAAACAAAGCGAAGGAAACTAAGAATAAAACAGGCTTAGCGAGATATGGAGGGCTAGCTCTTTACTGCCAAGCTCCGAGTTCTCCCAGCGTACCATCTGAGTGCCGACACACAGAGCCAGGGACACCACCAGGCGGCGCTCCTTCGTGCTCGGCCCGCTCAGAGCGTTCTCCGCCAGCACCAACGACGACAGAACATCCAGCCGCTGCTCGCTGTACTTCTTGTCAGAAATAACCCTTTTCTGCAGGGGGTTTAAAAAACGTGAGCGTTATAAGCATTTAAATGATGACACAAACTGCTCCTGTGAACAACACCCCCCCCCATCTTTACCTTTGCAGTGCCGATAGCGTTGAGGGCCTGAGACTGGAGCTGCTGGGTGATGTGAGAAACGGAGTCTGCCACCACCATGGAGCGCCTGTGAAAGGTGTGCGCCACAGCCTGGGGGCACAGTGGGGTCACAGCTTTTACTTTACGCAAGCAATGCTCGAATGCGCAACGTGCTCAAAATACGCGCTCACCTTCAGCAACTCGACCAGCCGACAAAGAGCTTTGACGGAGGTCTTGGTCATGGGCCGCTGCATGGACATGTACATGTTCATGGTGGTCTTGATAATTGTGCTGATGCTGTAAGCATAAAGGATGCCCTGCGAATAAGGAAACACAGACAGACTTCTAGTGAAGTCATATGAGAAAAGGCAGCTTTCGCATGATTATTCTATATTTTATGTTTACTCTGAAGCTGCACAAACTATTTGGATTTTCAAAATGATTTAGGCTTAAACCTTACTTTAGCTGTCCTGGCTAACACATCCAGTTTCACCAGATTAATCAACTGTAGGCTTAACTTTGTGACTTATCTGCATTCTCAGGAGTTCTGCAGGATTACAATCAGGAGAGAATCCCCCAAACTAAAACTCCCAAGTTACTATTTTGCAGTCCTTGTTCACAGAAGCTCAACTTTCTTCTGTTACCTGCACAAACACGTTACACCTGCTGTTCAGATCCTCCGCCAGTTTGTCACTTTTATTTTCCTTGGACAGGATGGACTCCATCTTCATCATCCAGGAGGTTACAAACACGTAGTACGACTGCACGTCCCTGAAACAACAATACATGTCAGATTCCTGATCTACAAATTCTGTTTCAGATCAGCAAATGTAGCTAAATCTGGAAAACGTGTGGCTGGCGTGCAGCTGCGCTGACTTTGTCAGGGTCTGAGCTCTCTGCTGAAGGTATGTGTCTCTGTGTGCTCTGATGGCCTGGAGGCTTTTTTTGTCCATCAGTTTGGCTGCAGCCGGGACTTTAGCCGTGAGGAAGGCGTCAGGAAACCAGATGATGTTTGCAATCAAAGTGACAGCTGGAACCTGCGAGGACAGGTGAAAACAAAAAACCATCGGAGTGAGAGTAGCAGGGCGATGAGAGGGTTTGCGGGACAAAGGCGACAAACGTACCTTTTTACAGACATCCAGCAGTGCCTTGAAGAATTTTTTGTCAACGCTCCTGAAAATGTGAAAATGAAGCACAAAAAGACCACAGACTCCAGCATATTTATCCCTCTGATCAATTTCTGATGGTTCTCCTAAAAGAAAGACAGAAAGAAATATGCCACACTCAAAACCAAGGGAACGTAAAATGATTCGGACCGTTCTGGTGAGGGACACTGACCAATTTTGGACTCAACACTTGTGAATATGGTGCGAATGTTGAAGGCAAACTCTTCTGCAAAGGCACTGTTTTTGGCGACTGCCACGCCCTCCCCTGGATCATCAAACCTCTGCTCAACACAAGCCTGCCAAAAGTCATGTGGTTCATATAAATGCTCGCATCAGAGCTCTGCCGAGATGCTGCCTCTGAGCAGTCAAACTGAAGAGGTAACAACAGAGGTTTGAGAGTCACCTGTAGTATCATGCCATCCAGTAGCTGTCCCTCCAGCTTGAGCAGGAGTTTTTCGAATGGTTTCAGTTTCTCTTCAGGAATGGAAAACTTTGCGGGATTATGATGCACGGACTTCAATAACCTGTAACAAGAGATGGGTGAGCACAAAGTTTGCAGTGTATCGGAAACAATTCACTAAAAACAAGTTTGTCTGTGTGTCTGTTAACCTTTTATACATCTTCCAGTGATCTTTAAGAGTGCTGTGATTCTCCATGATCTCATCAAGAGTGAGCAGTACCACTAACAACTCCCCCAGGTGTTCATATACGATCTGCAGAAGGGATGCAGAACAGTTTCATGCACAGTTCAGTTTAGCCAGATGAAGCAATGCCTTTGACAGGAACGGAGACATTATATTGCTTGCAAGTCTGTCAGCAGGACATCATCATATTTAAAGTAAGGATGAATTTCCTGCTCATCAACATCTTCGATTCAGTTTAAAAGTGATCTTGGCTAAATGACAAATACTTCTTGATCACCATAGACTTTATCGTGTAGGTCAACTGGTAAGTTGAAGGGAAGAAACTTGCCTGATAAAAAGAGTTTGGAGTTCGTAAAGTTTCAAAACTCACCTGGAAATGGACACCTGAAGATTCAATGATTTTTGTTGCACCCCTAAAATATGAAAAAGCAAGTCTTATTTTGAGAAAAACATGCACAACCTGTTTATATCTGTCTGTTTTAAAAAACAGTTCTCTGATGAAAGCAAAGACTGAACACAGAATAAAAAAAACAAATGTATAACTATACAGGTCAGTAAAACGTTATAACACCAAGCTTTCTGGACTGAATATCACATGGTAAAAATTCTGATTCAGATTATTTGATAATATAGAAATTGCAATTTTAGCCATCTTAGTGAGATAAAAATGATAAATTAGACAGGTAAAGGATTTTGAATAAACATATATATCCAATTCATATGATTCCTAACAAGAGTACACTAAAAACAAGAGACATGTGCTTGTTTTTGCTGTTCATTAGCATATATTGAATTTATGATAAGTGGATTTATTTTAAGATGATAAATCTGTTCAAATATACAATGTCTGAGCCTAAAAAATGCCTCCTAATGTTGTTGGTTAGGCAATGTTTTAACTCTCAGAATTTCCAACTGCAGTTCTTAAGTTTTTTTCCCCCGCTGCAGAGCACATACTGCCTCCCCAACAATGGGTACATTTCCGACCGACTGTGAGACATCACTGTCTCCTGTTCAGGAATCTTACTTGCTGCTGTTGTAGAGGGCAGCCAGCTGATGAACAATGCTGACCACCACTTCATAACATCTCGAAACAAAGCAGGATAGTTCCTATGAAAGGACAATGAGAAGCCTATGGAACAACGCTCTATTATCCAGTGAACATCTTTACGAACAAAATGACTTGCAACCCACCTGGAGGAAAGAAATGAATCTACCCATTTGAATCTGCGAGTCTCCTTCAACAACACTGGTTTCCGACACTGTAATGAAAGGGATTCATTTTCGTTAGTATATTGACAGATGCACCATGACTGAGTCCAATGCTGCAAAGAGCTGGCAGATTACCTCCTTCTCCGTAGTACAATAAGCCATTGTAGAACTTGGTTTCTGCCTGGAAAATAAACTCTTTCACATAACTGTTCCACAGAACAAGCAAGACTGATCAGAAATGTGTTTGGTAGGACATATGCAGTATGCCTTTAAGCACTGCTTCTGTCTTTTAAGGAAACAAAACATCCTCTACACAACAAAAAAAGAGCAGGTTTTTGTCCAGGCTTACCTCATACTTGAGCTTTTTAACTTCACTACACAGAGCAGCATAAACTGTAATAACTTTGTTAAGAACCTGCACAAAATCAAGATATTATCTGTCAAACAAGTATAATCTTATACGAGTGCTAATTTGACAAAGGCAAATATTATGTATAACTACCTTGTTGTCTGTTTTGATCAACTCTAATAAGGATGATTGCTCATAAGGCAGAAGCTGAAAGAGAGAAGACCAAAACAGGAAGGAAATGACAAGAGTTTCATCCGTGCAACAGCAACCTTGACATTCTCTGGTGGATGTACAGCAACTTCATAATGGTTTACTTTCAGTGCAATGGGGTCCAGAGTGAAGTCCCACACATCTCCTATGGAGTCGTCCAGAGCCTCTTCAATGCCCTTCAGCTGAAAGGTGTAGTCCTCCAGAAACTTGCTGTAGTTCTTCAGTTGAACCTCTGTATGTATTTCTGTCAGGATGGCAGTTTGACAGTTTTAGATAAACTTCATTTGAGGGCAGGTTTTAGATTATTTTATTTAAGCCCCCCTTTTCTCTTTTTTTTTTTTTGCTTCAATGACATGAAAACTCTGAAAGACAACCACCTTTTTTCTTACAAAGCAGCAAGAATTCTTCTGATGCACAGCTGTATACAGCCCCACTCTTTAACAAATAGCTTAAAAACAACGTTACTTATGACACTACAAAGGCAAAAATGCCAAATTAAAATCAAATAAGCATTGCTATGAACACATATTGGATGGGGTCTCTTTTCCCCGTTACACGTTTGCCCAAAAAAATGACAGGTGCAGCTGAACGTGTATTTGCAGCTAGCTTCAAAATTAGTTTTAAAATGTGGAAAGGTGCAGACACACAAAGCAAGCATCGACATTTAAAGTTTATGCACTGTTAAAGTTATTTTCGAAAATCTCATAGGATCTTATCACAGCTGTCACAGCTACCTGTCAAACAGACTAGCTTCCATGATAACATAGGGCTACTTTTGCCTGAGCAAGCTCTTAATCTACTCAATTTGAACCCCACATTTAAGCAGACAACACGATACCAACAATACCTAATATAAGACAACACCAATAGATTCTGTTTAATAATAAATATCTGTATTAAACCATACGGACAGTCTTTTTGAGTACGTGGTGTTGTACAGCATCCCTGTTAGCAACACAGGCTAGCGACATGCATTTCTACAGGTAAATTTCCTGTCGTCAGTTTGTTTCTGCTTGCCAGGGCTATATGGAGCACTTACTTTGTGACCCATCGTCAAAACGGTCAAATTCCCAGTCAGGTGCGATGCTTTCTACCGCCATAATAGCAATATAGATGACTCAAAGCCCTAACACTGTGCTGCTAAAAAATAAAGCTCCGATCCCATGATGGACCTTGTGATCTGCGTCGCAAATGGTCATGGGAAATGGAGTCCGCAGCGATAGGACTTTAATAGACACCAAAAACCTGGCATTTCTGCAGATAACTTTACAATTTCTCTTAACATCATCCAGTTTCCAGTTATACAAGTTATTCAGGCACGGTTTTGAACTCACTAACTGACAAAAAGCCCAAAGAATTTCCTTACCACCACGAGTGTCTTGTCGCAGTTGAATGATTCCCCTTTCTTCCAACAAAACAATTTTGCTCTGTCCATAAAACTCCATTTTCATATTACTTGTCCTCTTGAAAAGATCACAAAGAGCACATCAGAAAAAGAAAGTGCTTTTCAGAGACCAAGAAATCAGTCTGTCTTGGTTGATTGACTTCAGCCTTGTGCAATTTACTCCTTTCATTGATTTGAACCCAAGCTCAACAGGGCAATTTTCAAAGTGATTTTTGGACCAAGGACCATCCTTAAAAGAGCAGACTATAGTACGAGTCTCTTTAGAACAGTAAAAACATGTTCAATACTTTGTAGAAAGGCTTAGAAATTGTGAAGGACAAACATATTTTCTGTTACATTTGCTCCATTCTGAGGCCAGACCTGGCTGTAATCCAGAGACAGAATAAGGGACATTACTTTAGATTGAAAGATTTAAGACACAGAAATGATTGTCCCATATTCCAGTGGGTACTTGAAAGTTGTTTGTATGTAAGGACACTGATGGCTTTGAAAGCAACCTAATTGGTGCTTTTTGGCACCAATTAAAGATGTGGACTTATCAATAACACTGAAATATATATTGACTGGATGGACAGGAATCGATCCTTTTCGCCACTCCGTGAGAGGCACATACATCTTTAATAGATTACCAGTTTATCATATGAAGACACAAGGAAAAACGACCATCCAGGTAGATGTCCAATGGTAGGTCCAATCTGGCATCCCAAATTGACTTAACATTCAAACTCGACACAAACACATTTAACCCAACAGTGCCACTTTTCGCTCTGAAATAAGACTTTGAATGAAATTATTCTTAAAACGACCAAGAACAAGCAACTAATTGTACCTAGGAACATCACATGAATTAATTTACTTCATTTTACATTACATTGCTTTGTATAAGATATTGGCCCGTGCCTGACTGTTTACAACTATTACAACTTGGCAATATACAGTCAGAGGGTGACACTCTTAACAAACAGCTGTCAAATGTGTGTGTATATTGCTGCTTGTCTCATACAGGGTTGAGAGAGGGAGAGATATGCAGCTGGTATGAGTGTGTGTGCGCACATGTGAGTGTGTGTGGCAATGGGTAATGTCGCTTTGGAGACTCAGCGCACTATCCAGACAGCAGCCATGCTCGGCAGAAGAGTGGCAGGATAGAAACTTTTCCTCTCTAAAGGTGTTACTAAGGTGAGAAGCTCTTTCTTTTAGCCAGTAATTAGAGTGATCAGGCTAAAAAATTAGCAATGCTTATCAGTGACACTTTTCACAGGGGGGGCAGGAATGCATGCAGAAATTGGGGGGTTTCAAATAGATTTCAGACAGAAGTTGATCTTTTTCTTGAGTTATGTTTATTTCCTCAAACTATGTATGAGGAGAAATATGATTTTACTTTTGGAGGATCTTCCTTCCAATCCTTCCGATCTTCCTTCCAATCCAACCACTTAGCCTACAAGTAATGAATTAATCTTTTGGTTGGACCAGCATGAAGTTTCTCTGAACATTTTGAGGGTTTGATGATTTCACATTATTTGACCGATCTGTGTTGTCATTACTCCATACATGACTCTATATTTTATATGAGGTGAATTTTAGGCGTAAGAGTTCCTTAAGCGCAGAGAAGTCATTTTAAATATGTGATCCACAAAAGTATTTTCAACAGGGCTTGTTTTGAAGAGTATCGGTGCTCTTTTAAGAACATTTTTGCTGTCCGTAATGAAGTTGCACATTTAGTGTGATGCCCTGTCTCTAACTTCATAATTCAAGCTGTTTAGTACCTGGCAGTTTCTCAGGAATGTCTAATGAATCACACTGCTATTGCTGGACAACACAGTCTCAGTGCTGCTGATAGGAAAGGGGCATGAGGAATGCTAATCCAGGCAATGCATGTCATCAGGTGACTCAGAAACAGCTCTCTCCGTTTCCAAACCAGCCTGAGAGCTGTGCCACGCTGAATGTAAACGGATTAAAGAGTTTAAAATCTTCACATTTTTTTTCACTCTAAATATTGAAGTGTGAAACACTGATTCATTAAAAGAAAAAAATGTAAAGTTTGCCCTTTGTCTAAGATCTATAGCCTTGTGCCAAAGGTTTTAATCGGCCTAAAGACGGAGGATTGTAAAGTGTTGAAAAAATCATTGAATGTTTAAATGTGTGGCTGTTTTGTTTGACTGCAAATGTTGTATGTTTTTAAAGAATCAGTTGTTAAATCTCTCACAGAACATTTGATGAGAATTGAGAAGGATATTTTGTAGACTTTGTGGTAGCATGTCAGCCCCCTTTCCTGTTGGTGTTTCTCTTTCTTCTTTTTTTAGGCCAGTTGTTTGTGTTCACCAATTCAGGACCCACTGAAAGAGGAGCTGCATTCTGTTGAGTCCGACTTTATACCATGGTTGTTCCAAAGTCACCAGATAAGAAATGCAACCAGAACAGCGGTTTCGGAACACACATCAGTGAAAACCCATCCCTCTCCCAGCTTCCTGGAAGTCTAAAACATTTGAACTCTAATGGAAGTATATCACCAGCTGACACCAGTCTCCAGCGCGAGCCTCAGGAATACACTGAGACGGACTCTCTGCTGCCAAATGAGCTCCATAGTGGGTCCAGGTTCAGCGCATCCACGAGAACTAAGGATGATGAGGTCTCAGGGGCGGCTTCAGAATCCATGCGCTCAATGGTGCTACAAATCCTGGTGCCATTTCTGCTGGCTGGGCTTGGCACAGTTTCAGCTGGAATACTACTCGACGTGGTTCAGGTAAAAAAAGAAAAAGACAAAATAAGAGAGTCCATATCATCAAGGTATAAACATATTGACTAGATTTAAAGAATTATACATGTCTTCTCATTGAGATTTTTTAACACACACTCTCTTTAGATTTATCTTAGACATTCTAAGTCTGAGAGTGATAACTGAAGCTGAGTGATGAGCCAAGCTGTGGCATACACACATGCTTCAGTCCATTAAAATGTGTTACAAAAATAATTTCCATCAAGCATCCCCAAACAGGTGATCAGTCAAGGAGATCATATATACAATTAAGAGTCAGACAGGGCAAAACAAATGTGGATCTATTAATCTAAACAACAGATTGAAAAATTAAATCCAGAAGCGGAAGGCTTTGGAATATGATCATTGGAAAAGAAAAAAGTTGTGTTGAGTCGTGTTCTTGGGGTGATTGCTTTCTTTTGAGAACAACCAATAAGTCCCGACTAATTCAAATCTTGTTCGCACACAGTGAGCGTCATCATGACAGAGAGTAATGTGAAAATGATCGATTGGTTCTGTGTTTTGTTGGATGCCGCTCTTCTTGTGTTAACTGTTTACAGCAGTGTACTCCTCTCTGTGTGACTCTGTGGCAGAGCTGGGATGTGTTCCAAGAAATCACAGAGATCCTCATTCTGGTCCCTGCTGTTTTAGGCATGAAGGGAAACCTTGAAATGACGCTGGCTTCAAGACTCTCCACTGCTGTGAGTGTTGGAATGCAAAATAAATACACAACCCCCATGAAAAGGTGGCAATTGTACAGATTTTGATCCGTGAGCATGCTGCGAAACAAGAATAACTGGGAAACTACCATATAAACCTGAATAAATGCAGCTTTGATAAATAAGAACATAAGAAAAAAAAACTGCTTTTGAAGTTGATTGACCAGCTCACAATAACAGCCTTCCTTGAATTTTATTTTTGCTTTCCTGAATCATGAGTGTGAAACTCCTCACTGACCTGTGAAGAATACAGCAGCAGTTGCACAGTTTTCTTTAGGAATCATGCTCTTTCTTTTTTGCATCAGGGAACTTTAAAGAAACTTCATTGTAAATCTTAACTGAAGCTGTCATGCATTGTTTTGACTTTCCTGACCTCACCTGCGAAATTTAAAAGCTTTTCCCAAGTATTCTCAAATTAGTCATTTCTATCTGTGATTTCCTGAAATGGACTATGTGTTGAATAAGAACAAGGGGCATGGGGAAAACAGATGACAACAGCAGCTTGGTCAGCAACCACTAAATTCCCCCTCACTTATCCAACCCCACAAAACACCGGGAACATTCTAGCCATCCCCTGACATGTCGAGATATGTACATGAAAAGCACAAGTTGAACTCAAGTGACCTAATAAGGCCTAATATTCTGTCTTAAGAATCTAAAAATAACTAAAATGAACTCAAAATCACCTAAAAATGAACCAAAAATAACCAGAAATAGGTTTATAGGTCATCAATCATTTTGACATAACATGGATGCATCTTTTTGTCGTGGATGTCCTCCCAACGACGTAGTGAATTATTCTAAGTCTTTCAAAAATACTAAGTTCTTGAAGAAGCAGTTGAAATATGTTAGATATATGTTTACTTATCCCATGGATACATGTGGGTTTGCATCAACCCTCATATGGTACAAGTTTACTTAGCCCTTTATTATATTCCGTTTGCAGTTCTCATGCACTCATAAAGCATTTATTATGGTTTGACCTCTGAACCATGGTTTCTTCCTCTTTCATACATCAGATACATGTCAAACTACTTCTCTTTTAGATATGTGTTAAACCACACTACTAATCATTTGTGATAATATATTCATTGCGACATATTAATCCACTACATTTTCTCTTCTGTTGACAGGTGAATGCAGGCAGAATGGACAATTCCAGGGAAAAGTGGATGCTGATCGTTGGTAATCTGGCTCTTAAACAAGTATGCTGTTTTCAATTGAAACAAAAGCATCTAATGCTTATTGTGTGCTAAAAAATAGAATAAAAAAAAATTTAATCTCTGTAACATATTTCAAAACACCAACTTGAGAAGATTGTCATTTTTTTCCCTCCTGCTCTCATTTTTAAGCTGCAAGCCACAGTGCTGGGCCTGTTAGCTTCTCTGATGGCAACTCTGCTGGGCTGGATGGCAGAGGGACAGATGCCTTTTGATCACATTGTGCTCCTGTGTTCAACCAGTGTTTCTACAGCTTTCATGGCCTCGTTGCTGCAAGGTAAAAGCCCCTTTATATTACCCATGCTGTCTTTTTGCTTTCTTTTTCCACTATTGTGGAAGTCATCACCACTTTTGCCCAGTTATTTGTTTCTTGGCCCAGTCTCCAACATATTCAGAAAAAAATTGGTCATTTGCAGCAAATGTTTAATCTTTTCTTATAAAAGGAGGAATTATCTCTGGTTCTTCATCATGGCTGCAACTCCAGGGAAGATTTCTTGGCTCCACTTTCTTAAGTTACTGTAGATTTCGTTAGGTGTGTAATCTTTTATAAAGGTTTTAGAAGTATGAGCTTCCTCAGGACAGGGCATTGTCGTGGATGTCCTCCTGACGACGTAGTGAATTGTGCTAAGTCTTTCAAAAATTCTAAGTTCTTGGAAAAGCAGTTGAAAAATCTCCAACAGTGGTCAAAAAGAAGCAGAGGCAGCTGGGTCTCGGTCCAGTATGGTTTATTGCAGCAATACAAGTCCACCACACATGAGATGTTAACCGGGCTAACATCTACCCTATTGAGAAAGTGGTCTGCTTATATACAATCCCTCGGGACTCGGAGACTCCTCGCCGAGCCCCTCCTATTATGACGTAATTTCAGGCCCTATTCCACCGGTAACTCTGTGATCTTTTTTCATACCGGTGGAAATTCATCTAGAGTGCGTATTTTTAAAATGGGCGTCTTAGCCCCACCTTCCAGTCTTGCACCTTTAGGTAAGGTTTAACCTCTGGACCCAGTTCTTCCACATTACCCATAATTTGCTTATACAACCTTATCTTGATATATGTTTAAGGTACACCATTAATCATTGTGATAAGAATATATTCATTGTGAGATATTAATCCACTACAGCATCATTCATATTAAAATACCTTTAACTTGTGTTAAATTTCCTTCAGGCATCCTTATGGTGGGAGTAATCATTGGCTCCAAACGGTTGGGGATCAACCCTGACAATGTGGCCACGCCCATGGCAGCCAGCTTTGGAGATCTCATCACTCTGGCTTTGTTGGCATGCTTCAGTCAATGGTTCTACTCCATCACCAGTAAGAGAAATGAGGATGACCACACTCTATTTTATTTTTCCCATTGTAGGCAGAGATTTGTTCACGCACCCATGTATTTCATAAATTTGACCAGTAGATGGCAACTGTGATCCTTCATCAGTAATCCAAAAGATCAGAATTTGCAATTATTACCTGATAATAAATGCAAAGATGAATAATTAAAATTTTTGTCTACAGAACTTTATCCCTTCGTGTTGTACCTGGTCAACCTTGCATATTTATGCCTGATACCTGTCTGGGTGGTTGTATCCTCCAAACACCCAGCCAGTCATATCCTGCTCCGTACAGGCTGGGAACCAATCATTACAGCGATGGTCATTAGCAGGTACTGCATCTCTACCTGGTTCCATTTACAGGTTTCTACTTTTAGAAAACTGTTATCTATTTATACATTTTTAATTTAATTTAATTTTTTGCACATACACTACGTGTTGAATTGGGAGGGTAAATAGTGTTCTCTGATTGGATCATTTAAAGATAAAGTCATCATTTTAAACCCCACACCTCAGTTATAGTTAACAAGACAAAATACAGCAAGACAAAATATTTACTCACATTATTCAGGTAATTTGTGCTTAATCAACAACATCTAAACTTCCAACTTTATCAATATATTTTGTTATCTATCCACAGGAGCTGTCAGAGACAGCAGAATCATTTCTGTGAGTCAGTAAATGCTTACAAAGAATATTAGGACATTGCTTATGAGCTTGGTCAAGTCAACATCTTTATTGTCACAGGCAGTAAATAATAATCAGTGCAAGGGTTTTCTTGGTTCCCATTTTCTCCATTTTCTATCGTGAAGAATAACAATCACTAAATTAGAACAATGATTAAAAAACATCACACTCAAAGGCAGACAGCAGGAGTTGTTCAGTTCTTATGTTGATGATGGGGCAAGAGGGATGTAAAGGGAAGTGAATTCACTCATTGAATATATGGTGCCAAAAGTTTGTGGAGTAATACTTAAAAAATATTTCTTGCCTTTTAGTATTGGAGGACTTATTCTGGACAAGACTATGTCAGATCCAAACTTGACTGGGATAATAGTTTTTGCACCAGTTATAAATGGTAAGTTGATGTCTTTTTTTTTATAAACAAAGATATCCTAAATGTTCAAGTGCCTAAACACATCCATCCATTTACTACATACCCCCATTATAAGTACCACTGTGGGGGGCTGGACCCTTTTTAACTGCCATTTGATGAGAAGCTATATGGGGCAAAATGGAACAGACAGTCCCAGGGTCTTTAAGTCACCAATTGGCGTTTTTTTGATGACCCAGGGGGAACCCACACAAACAAAAGCTGAAGACATCAGGGCCCCCAGCTGGCATCTGGTAACCCTTTTGCTCACCACCACTCCGCAGAGTGACACTATCTGTCATGCATCCGCACATAAATTAGATTAGATTACTTAATTGATCCCACAATGGGGAAATGAAATATCTGAAATGTGAAATGTTTCAGCATTCTAAGGGCAATTTGGAATATCCAATCAACCTAACATGCAGGTTTTTGGATGGTGGGAGGAAGCCGGAGAACCCGGAGAGAACCCACACAGACACAGGGAGAACATGCAAACTCTGCACAGAAAGGTCCTGGTTGCCCTGATAACTCGAACCCAGAACCCTCTTGCTGTGAGGCGATGGTGCTAATCACCACTTAAAATATGATAGTCCATGATTGGAAAACAATTGTTACTCAACATATGATAGCCCACGATTGAAAAACCAACTCAGAATGATTGAATCAGCATGGCAAAAAAGTGTGAAACGAGACATTTCACGAGATAAAAACAAATCTCTAACAATGACCCTGATATAACTTTTCTACCTCTTATCTGGGGGCAGGAGCCGAAGCAGGGAAACCTAGACTTCCCTCTCCACAGCCACTTCAGCCATCTCCTCCCAGGGGGATCCCAAGACGTTCCCAGGCCAGCCGAGAGACATAGTGTTAGGTTCTAGCAACCTTAAACATTTGTAAAACTCTGTAAAGAAGTTTTTATTTCCTTAGGGCAGTCCTAGTTACATACACAACTTCAACTCTCAAGTAAGTGAAAATGTACCCCGAGGTACTTCAACTGCTCCACTTAGGGAAGGACATCCCCCCTGACGTGGAGGAGGCATTCTAACCTTTTCCGGTGAGACACCATAGTCTCAGATTTGGAGGCACTGATCCTCACCCCAGCCTACTTCACACTCGGCTGCGAACTGCTCCAGCGAGAGCCATAGATCAAGACTTGATGAAGCCAGTAGAACCACATTATCTGCGAAAAGCAGAGATGCAATCCTAAGAACACCAAGACGGACATCTTCAACACCTTGGCTGCACCTAGAAATTCTGTCCATAAAATTTCTGAACAGATTCGGAGACAAAGGGCAACCTTGGTGGAGTCCAACTCTCACCGGAAAAGAGTTTGAATTACAAGCGGTGATGCGGACCAAGCTCTGACACCAGTCATACAGCACACCATACAGCACACCATCCCCACTGTAAACACTGTTGACAATGGAGGCGCAGAACATGGCCCCACCTCCCTTGGAACGTGATCAAAGCTCTCCAGGAGGTGGAAGTTAAAGGTCTGCCTAACGGGGGACTCTGCCAGGAGCTCCCAGCAGACTCTCACGATACGTTTGGGCCTGCTCGGCCTTACCGGTATCCTCCCCCACCAACAGAGCCAACTCACCACCAGGTAATGGTGGTAAGTGTATATATTGAATAAGTGGTCAAGGTTATAACTTCGGCAGGTTCCACCCACGACCCCATTAGGGAATAAGCGGTTACGATAGTGGATGGTTGGTTATAAATTACTTATCCTGTGGCAGCTGGGATAGGCTCATGTCAACCCCTATAGGAATGGTGTTTATTTACACACTCTGTATTGGCCTGGTGTGGATTTTTTTGGTTTTCAGTGCAAACAGTCTTAGTCCTTGTCAGAGAAATCCAGAGATGATAATGTTGTAGAAGGCTGCTGAGAGCAGAAGAGGTGGTGCACCTCTAACCCACACATCTGCTAGGCAGATTTTGACTACACAAACAAGGTTACAAAAACATTCCCAGAAGCTGCTGTTTGTGACCCTCTTCCCAACAAGCCCTGACCCTGATGGCTGTGACCAAGACAGCAATATATTATGTCTAACAAACTTAAGAATGATTGTAAAAAAATTCCCAAGAAAGTTTGAGAAAGCCCCAAATCTACTGCCCAATTTGTCCCCCCCATTGTGGCCTACTCATTTCAAGTTGGCCATGACCCAATTTACAACTTTAAAATTTTTTAGCTTTAATTGATCGATTGATGCCTTTTGGAGATGGACAAAGAAGGTCATTGACTCAAGCTTAAAAGAGCCAGCCCCCTTGCCCTATGCTTCCTTTGACTTTAGAAGGGTTTGTGTGTCACAGTGGCTTTTTTGTATGTAATTGAGTCATGTTAATCAATTAAGAGGGAGGGAGTTTGAAAAGGTTTATAATGGAAAACCAACCCTAAAGCCATCTCATTGGCTGTTTTATTCTCCTTATCGTCTTATTTATATTTCGCCTCTTGTTATTAAACAAATCACTAAAATGTCCTAATAGTAGACAAATGGGGAAACACCTAGCACTTTATTTTCAATTTTACATCCTACAATAAATAAGACAGACTCCCTTTTAGCCCTCCTTATAACCCCCTTTTTGACCATGATTTGACCCCCCTGCCTACCCCAGACAGATAAAAGCTGGCCTCTCAGATTCACCATGGAGAGCCTTAATGGCTGACACTTACTAAAATAACTCAACAGGGCGGTTAAAAAAGTTTGAGGTATCCTTAACAAATCCAGCAAAGTTTTTGGCTAGGCGGCATTCTCTCTTTATTTTCTAAAATCGGGGTGAGTTTAATGAAACTTAGTAGTTGATATCTGTACACATTGCGGTTAAAGCCTCTAAACTTTGAAGTGAAACTATTTTGTTTTCCTGCATGGAGAGCCTTAATTGTTGATACTAACAAGAGTAACTCAACAGGGCGGTTAAAGTTCGAGGTAAAAAATTAAATCTTTAATAAACCCTTCAAAGTTTCTGGCTAGGCGGCATCCTCTCTTTATTTTTTAAAATCAGGGAGAGTTTGATTAAACCATACACACACACACACACACACAAACTTCCTGGAGGGAGACCCACCTTTGAAGTCCTTTTTTATCTTATTAGTTATCTTTCAGATTTCATCTCCTGAAATAAAATAAGACAGACTTCCTCAGGTAAACAGTCCCATCCTTAAAATGTTCTAAATCCTTTTAGCCCCCCTTTGAACCCCACTTTTGACCATCCTTTGACCCACAGCCCACCACAGGGGTCATAAATCATAAGGGTCATAAATCATAGGGGTCAGATATCACACCTTTGACAGAAAATGTTGCTTTACTTTTTTAAGTAAGTTTTTTAAGTTTGGTCATCAGCTGAACAAACCATAAAGCTTGGAAAGTTCAATTAGGAAAATTGAAGTTTCGCCTTTCATCCAAGACGCTTCATCAGTTCTAACTGATGGTAGGGAGCACTGAAATAAACATACTATAGGTACGACAAAAGAATTGGGGGGAAACAATGAATAAAAGGTGGCTCTGATCCCTCCCACTAGGTGGGCCATAGAGGTCACTATGTTCACCGTGGGGAGTCTTGGTGGTCGTTAGGGTGCTCAAACCACACCCCAGCTTTCTTTCCTTTTTGTTCCTGAATAGGTGTTGGAGGAAACCTGGTCTCCATACAGTGTAGTCGCATTTCCACAAATCTGCATTTGAATTATTCACATGGAGAGGTTCCCGAGGGTCGTAAGGGCTGCTTCAACCCCTGTCACACTTTCTTCGGTTCAGGTAAGCCATTTCACTCATGAAATGCAGTCACACAAGTTTTTTTTTAAATCCATTCATTCTTTTCTTTTCTTTTTCTTTTTTCTAAAAAAAAAAGAAGAAAGAAAAGAATGAAATATAAATTTAAAGAAAAACAAGAATATGAATGGGAGTGGAGATGTTGTGGATGTCCTCTCAACGACTTGATTCCCATACATTATATGTTTACTTTTTCTCATGAGAATCTTTATATTCTACAGTTTTTATTTAGCCTTTTGTTACTGTGTACATTTCCCATGCATTCTTATTGTCTTTGTAATGGTTGGACCCCTGAACAATGGTTTCTCCCTTTTTTATATCCCAGATACATATTAATCTATTTCCCTGCTTAGATATATGTTAATCTCCTTCTTTTAGATATATGGATATATTACTGCACTCAATATATTAATGCACTCACTACTAATCATTTGTGATAATATACTCATTACAGGATATTAATCCACTACAGATATTTAATAAGATCGTACCATCGTCAGATTGCATCAAAACAAAGTCCTCCAATTCATCAGCAATGGGTTCTGAAAAGTAAATAAATAGATTGATATGATTAAATAAATAGCTGTATATTAAACACCGCTGAATTAATGTACTGAATGTAATGAATGTTACAATGTAAATCCCTAACCCCCGATCGTTTGCTTTATCTTGGCAGGATCAAACCACAGATCTGCTCAGGTTCTACTCCTTTTGGTTCTTCCTGGTCAGTTGATCTTCTTGCACACCATTTACTTGATGAAAGGAGGCCTCACTTTGCCCAGTCCACTCTTCACTGTCTTCTTCTTGTCTGCCTCCCTACTCCAGGTAAGTTACCATTGGATGATAATATCCTCAAAGACCTACACACTGGTGTGGTGACATTTACCCTTGTTCTCCTTGTTTCCCAGGTCTTTTTCCTGCTGTATGTAGCTGACTGCTTGGTCCACTGTCTGTGGAGGAGGGGCAAAGACCCAGACAGTTACTCAATCCCCTACCTCACAGCCCTCGGAGACCTTCTGGGGATCGCTTTCCTCTCTCTTGCCTTTCTTGTTCTGTGGTGCATTGGAGACTCGGGCAGTGTGTAGACCGAAAAGAAGTCGAACTAAACAACAGATTGTTATGTTGATGAAAAGGATAGCCGGTAAGAGAGAGTAAGTTCCTCTCCTTACCTCCTTACCTGCCCCGTACAATAGGAAGACAGGACCCAACCGAATGTTTTTGGCCAGTTACTTCTGACATGAAACAGGCCAGCTCCCAAATCATGCAGATAACATTGGAATGTGATAAGAAAGTGTGTGTGTGGATGTTGACCTTGAAGACGTGTATCTACTGCAACAGAGAGAAAAGGAGGATGTGTGGGCACACCTAAAGTTTAACACAAGAGTATAGTTCTAAAAGGAATAAGACAATCAGTAATTTACATGGATTATGTTATAGCATACAATGCCAAAGTGAGTAATTATAGCCCAATTCTGATAATATTCTATTATACTTTCTATATTATTATCAGTCCATTATAATTGGACTGATAATGAAAAATTCAAAGATTTATTTTGGTTTATTAGATCATTTAATAGTTGTCCTGCAAGCAAATGTATGTTTTTTTAAAAAACTTTGAATATATTCATGCGTCTAAAAATGTTTTAATTGTCCTCACAGTAGGGTTACAGTTTTGACTCTGTTTTGCATTTTTTAAATAATTTTAATGAAACAATGGGTGAAATCAATGTCCATGCAATGTACATGAACATTTGGGCAAACACATTCCGTAAAGTAAAGTGTAGGGAGAATGTCTATGATATGGATAAACTACATTCTGGCTACACGCCTGGATGGAGACAGTGTCGTGGTTGTCTTCCTGACGACGTAGTGAATTATTCTAAGTCTTTCAAAAATACTATGTTCTTGGAGAAGCAGTTGAAAAATCTCAAACAGTGGTCAAAAAGAAGCAGAGGCCGCTGGGTCTCGGTCCAGAGTGGTTTATTGCAGCAAATACAAGTCAACCACATGAGCTGTTAGCCAGGTCTGCTTTTATACACTCCCTGGGTCTTGGGGCTCCTCCCCGAGCCCCTCCTATTTATGATGTAATTTCGGGTCATATTCCACGGATATCTCTGTTATTTGATTTTGTACCGGTGGAAATTACCCTAGGATGTGTATTTTTTTACAATGGGCATCCTTGTCCCACCTTCATGTCTACTCGCCATTGCTCATTCCAGTCATTGTCCAGTATCTACCCATGGTTTCAATGGTGATACACATCATTGACCCTCTGGTTACATCCACCCTCATTATTTTGTTATTCAATTAATTTGTCATTTGGACCTTGGCTGTTTCCACCACCTCCCACATTATCTCCCTAATTACTGTGACATGACTATAATTACTGCCACATGAATATATGCATTGAGAGACAATAATCCACTACAACGGCCTGGTGTAAGACAAAAAGTACAAATACGGGATGACCAAATATAAGGGCAGAGTTAGACAGAGTTTTCTCTGACATCGGGCGATCAGACCTCTTCAGACGTGAAGCATCAATCTGTACTTCTGATTTGGACCTGGCTGACAATAAAATCATCTTTGTCTGACCAAGTGTGCCTCAGCAGAGTTTTTCCTGCAGCACCTGTAGTGGATCAATATCTCAAAATGAATGTATTCTCATCACATTGATTAATAGTGTGCCTCAACATATATCAAGGAAAATAATTGTATAAGAAAATAATGTGTGGCAGTGGAAAAAACCATGGTCCAGAGGTCAAACTATAGGCTACTAAGGGTCAATGCAAACAAAATTGTATCACCCTGGAAACCATGGCTAGTTACTAGAGGAGTAGTGGTATGGGACGTGTATCACCTTAGAAACCATGGGTAGGTACTAGAGAATGACCGGAATGGGTAATGACTTGTAAACAGGAAGGAGGGGCGAATAAGACGATCAATAATTAACATAGATTATGTTATAGCATACTATACTAAAAAATGAATATTTCTAGCCAAATTCTAACAGTAGGTTAATTGTTTTTGTCCAATCATATTTGATCTAACAGGGCCGGAATATAATTCACTTTCTTAAATCTTATCGACTGCTGTAAAGTCTGCAACATATTCACAGATTCGCGCGTCCCGCGTCAATAACTTGTAATCGGGACATTTTTAAAACACAGCCGATGCCTCTTTACAACCGTAGTAACGCACAAAACGGACTACAACCTCATTTTTATCAAAATAAGCCGTCCTCTGGGCTTTTTCGACAATATTGATCTCTATGGACACTCGGCGTTGAGACGAGTGCCCAGGGACCATCAACACGTTTCAATAATGAAAAATGATAACTTTACTGCAGTTCTTATCGGCCTTTAGATGACTTGCTGTGAGCGCAATGAACTGAAGTCAATCTGTGGTTAGATGATCAGTTCTCGCTGCTTTCCCACTAGTGGCGCCACCACGTTGCGAGCCAAACCTCCACCGCGCCACAAGCAGGGGGAGGAAACTAAAATCACAGAGCTGCAGCTGAGTTCGGGCCTTCATTAGTCTCGCAGCTTCTGCAAGAACAGGAACTGGAACAAAGAGCCGGAAAAGCTGTGCGCAAGAAAAGGACTCACGGCCGCCCGGCGCGAGACGCACAACTGCATGGGATCCACGACGCACGGCGCGTGGATGTGACTGTGTGTTACGGGATCGAATGGACTCTTAAGGGAAGATGCGCCGATAGCGGGCTGAACAAATGAAGCTGCAACTGATAATCTCCGGTCAAAAGTAAGTCAGCCCTGCATTAAGTCCCAGTTGATCTTTTTTTTAAGGCTCATTTCTGTAGATTATCCTCTAAATACATTTCCACTCTTCACAAACTGAAACTTTTCAGTTTGCGTGGTCTTTGGCGCGGAAAGTGGAAATATTCAACTGTGATTGAACTCATTTCCTGTGTTTGGTACTGGTAGCGCTTCACACAACGTAAAAATAAGTTCTAAGTTAAACACACAACAAAATGTTAGGATCTCCCTCAGTGATGGACAGGGAAGTTTCAAATTCTTTGCTTATTGGGATTGTTTAGCCCGCCTGGGTCAGATTTGTTTCTGAAGCTAATTTAAAGGTGTTGGAGCTTTTTTTAAACTGGATTTTAAACCCACTTTAGTGAGTGTTTGATAACCGGTCGTTTTTACTCAGGTCATTTCTCACTGTTGAGATGCAACTAGAGAGAAAGCAGACTTGATTGGGTAATGCTAGAAAAATTGAACAGAAACGCAGTCTGGGAGAGAATTGGATTCAGGATGTTATTGGAAATATTATTTTCATTGCTCCTTTTAGTGGAGAAGCCTGTGGTGAATTATGGGATGGTCGTCTCCAAATAGCTCAGGTGAAGGCGGGCGGTCAGATTTGGTCATCCTGTATCTGTACTTTTTGTCTTACACCAGGCTGTTTCCATCCAGGCGTGCAGCTAGAATATTGTTTTTTGTCTATATCATAAACATTGTCCCTACACTCTACTTTAGGAATGTGTTTTCCCAAATGTTTATGCTCTACGAACAGAACAGTCTGTGCTTAACTGTAAGCTTCGGACACCACAAACCTCTAGAATTAATTCCATCACACAGAATATATAAGCTGTGCTTTATTGATCAGGCTTACATGCACACTCGGTCTGTAGAGAAGCCTTTCCTCTCTTCCTTTTTAAGAATGAACATTCAGTAACAGCAGCACACCTTGTGACGTCCTCCTGCAGCCTCTCCTTACTACACCACACTTTCCTTCTTTTCTTTGTTTTGGAGCAGTTGCTGTTATTAAGATTTGAAAAATACCTTTAAGTGAAAAGTTCCACCTTCTAGTCATAACTGTCACCGCAAGAGGACACAACAGGACACAACATGCTGCTGCTGAACTACCACAACCCCTCCACCGTTTTACGCAATCAATGCCATTCCAACGAATTCTGAAAGCTGGCTTTCGGTTTTATATGGTGTCAGTGGTGAATGCTGCAAAGGGTTTTATAACAGGGCAGGTTTTCCTCAGGCATTTAAAATGGTTTTCTTTTTTTTGTTATTGTCCCACAAACGCATGTAACTGAACCTGATCCAGACAGGAGTGGGAGGAGAGCTAGCTGATGATTTAGAGGCAAATAATGTTATGTTAGTATTTAGCTTTGTTTAATGATTATTTTAGTGGCTTTTAGGCATCTTTTAATTTTTAAGTTTATACCTTTTGATAGTATTTTGTTGAAAACTTTTTTTTTTGTGGAAGTTTCAAGTGTTTGGAAGTTTTTATTCAACATAAAAACTTTTGAAGTTTTTAGTGTGCAATACTCGGGGGTTGCAGTAGTCGGTTGGGGGGGGGGGAGGGAGTTTTCACACACAAGGTCACCGTAAGCCAGGGATGTCAAAGTCAAACACACCAAGACAAAACAAATTTGCTACAAGCCGAGGGCCAGACTGGTTCAATGTTTATTAAAACATATCTAAACGATTGCACATAGCCAATTGAACCAAGACCTAACACAGTGTATTCACACATATTCACAATGATTAAATGAATATGGCAATATTTTGTTATGGCTTTGTCGGTAACTTCAAGGAAAAAAACATTTTCAACAGCCAAACAGCAAAAAATTAAATTGTTTTTAAAAACAAAATGTGTTTCTTAATATCAACATAAATGCATAAATAAAAGTGCATGCATTATAAACTGAAAATGTATTATTGTGCTGCTCTATGATGTACCGACCACTGCTTTTAAATAGTAGAATTAAAAAAAAAAAATCAGTTGTATTCTTTCTCATGGCTCTTATCTGCAATTTTCCCTGAGTCCATTCAACTGAAAAATGAATATAAATAAATAAAATACAAAAATTTATGGCACAATAAAGCTAGCCTTAACAGTGATTTGTGATTTAGCATATGTGAACTGTAGTGGATTAATATCTCACAATGAATATATTATCACAAATGATTAGTAGTGTGCTTTCTTCATCACTCTCTTAGTAGTGTGCTTTAACATATATTATACTTGATGTAGTGGCGATTGTTTGTCAAACCAAACATCCAATAAAAGTTCCTCAAGCCACTAAGGCACTGGGGTCCAGTTTCTGTACGCAGGCAAAAGAAGCTGCACGGGTTGGGCCTCTGACTCAGACACCAGCTGAGATACATATTCAATAAGCACAATTTGTACACAACTGCACAAGTTTGTTTGAACATTTTCATGGGACTCTTCCCTTGACATAATACACCGCATGTTTTCACATGAGGCTGTCACAACTGCATGTTTAATCCTGAAAATAAGTCTTAACCTACAGTAATAGCTGTATTCTCACTGAACATAGCAGTTTGGTCCTTGGGTTTCAGTTTTGTGTGAAGGTTGTGTGTTTTGTACCCAAATACCACAGATTGTTATGGAAATTAAGGTTTATTTTTTATTCTGTTATCTCCAGGAATTTGTTTAATTTGTGACCTCCTCATTGATGTCTCCCCACACCATATGTTGATGTCCAGCATTTATTTTTCAGCTTAGACTTAAGTCTTTTATGCACAACGTGTTTGTTTCAGGAAATCTGTTCTTGGGGGGTGTACTTGAAGCAAAATTACAAATTTGAAGTAAGGTCGGTGTCTAAAGATGGGGGGGGGTTTAAGGGTGAGATGTTTTTTTCCTATTCTCATAACGTGAACCCTTTCAAACTAACCCTAAGTTTTGGGGGACTTCTCAATCTACTACAGCAGATGTTATATAGTCATGATTCATCTTATATTTTGATTCCTATCATTATTGAATCTCAGATCTACCCTGATCCAGGATTACGATCCCATCTCAGATCATAGTTCTGATAAACTGCCATCACACTTCTTGTCCCGTACTATTTGTTTAGTTCTAATGGTGTTTGTCTGAAATGTTTAAGATAATGATGTTTTATACATCATGAGATGTTCTAACATTCAGAGTAGGTTATTTTTTGGCGTATGTTTTCTTTATTTGGTGAAAAGAAAACTTACTAATATTAGTGAATCTGCTACCTGGAATTATCCCAACTTGTGTAGGATTATTATGAACAGATGGAAAAATAGGCTTCTTACAATGCCTAAGACATATACAAATGTTAAATGACAATGTAAGATAGTTTACTCAACATTTTTTCTCAATCTCTTTTTCAGGAACAATACCAACTCAATCACCACAAGCCTTGACCGAGGACAAAATGCATTCTTTTGCCCTGATAAATGGACAATATCAAAATGTTGGATCATCGAAACAAGCCCAAAATACTGCTTCCGGTGCTGCCCATAATGCCACTAGGAATAACACTTGGACCACAGTGGGGGCATACCAGTATATTCAAACAAAAGCAGGAGACAAACCCTCGCACAATGGTAATGTTGTCTCACACAGAGTGAACGCCCAGAACTATCAGAACTCTGCAGCTCCTTATCAGACTTCTAATTCACAACAAAAAGGCACAGAGTTCTCCGATGAGTCCATTATCAGGATGCTGCTTCACTATCTGCCAGATCCACCAGCTACCTCACAACATGGAAACTCTTCTCTTGTGTCTAGTTCCAGATCTCAGGCCATCACTCAAAATTGCCATCGTGCCATACCAACTCAGAGCCCACTCAACACAGCCAATGCGAGTCATTGGCAAGACATGTCTTCTTGTCGTAATCAGCGAATATCATATGATGGGAGACAGCCGGCTGTGACTGTTCAGAATGGACAACGTGTGTTATATCCCCAGCAAAATACAGCTCCGCAAACATTGTATCGCATAGCAAATGGAGGCTCACTATCTCGTGAACAGGCTGTAGGCCCCATTTCTTTTGTACCTGTTCGTGCACACAATGGAAAGCCTACTCAAATGAATTGCAACCAGATCTCCAGTCAAAACAGCACCGTGAGTGTCTTTATTCCAGTTTGCTCCTCAAGTTATGGTGCGCCAATCTCTCCGTCTTGTGGAAACAGAATGACCACACAGTCATCGAATGCACAGAGTTTATACCTTTCCAACACAAGTCAGAAAACTCAGCATCATACAGCTCAGCCTGGTTTACCGTGTAACATGTGGAGAAATCCCACCAACTTGAGCAACCCAAAGTCAAATAACTTGAATGAAAACCCGAATGCTGTACAACAGCAAAAGCTCAGGCACAATGTGAACACTTACCATTTAAGTAAGATGAACACTGCTGGCTCTGACATGTGCCCTCCTCCATCTTACTACAGTCAGCATTTTTCCCACGAAGGCAGACAAAATACGTGCAGTCAAAACACCCAGCCTGTTACATCAGTGTCCTCTAAAAATTACAACATGAATACCACCCAGTCATCACAAGTCCCCTTGGGACAGTCTTGGTCCAGCAGTGTTCTTTCAGTACAACAAAATCCCATAAATATGCCCCCTCCACAAAGCTCTTTCCCAGAGACCTTAAGTGGCAATGGGGCAACAAATGCAAGTAGAAGGGATACAGCAGCTGCCACATTTCTTCCAAACAGTACAGTTTCAAAAGGGAGTCAGGGTCAGTCCCTGTGCAATTCACCTCAAGCAAAAGTGCCTCAGGGTGTGTCATCGCAGACAAACAAGCCCAAATCACTGACTGAGAGTCCTCTTCTTCTAGCGGAAATTCTTGGAGTTCAACCACCTGTAAAACAAAATGACTGCTCTGCTCACTCTACAGCGGGTCACCTGGGCCCAAAGGCTGTTGCTGTTGTGCAACCACTGTCACAGGAGAAGGGGCAAACCTCCTCTAACAGCACAACATGCGACTCAGCAAGTCATTCAGAGATAGAGTGCATTTCACCTGCTTTAGCAAAAAACAACGGCTCGGAGTCAAATTTGCGCCCAGAAAACCCCGATCAAAGGAGGGCGGTGGAAGCAATGCCCAAAGATGGCCCAGAATTGACTGCTAAAGATTCAGAACCTACGAACTGTATGCCAAATTCTGAGCAGGATTCTAATATCGCTGCAGCTGCACCCTCAGAAGTACCAGCAAGTCAAAGCTGTTCTACAAAGGACGATAAAAGTAATACACCTCCATCACCCTCTGCTATTGAGCTCACTTCCCTTTTAACAACCCCTTGGACTGCTGAGGCATTAAGAAATTTAATATTGATGGCTGAAAAAGGTCAGGCAATGACAAAATGGAAGACGCCAGCAAACACGATCCTTGAAGTCTGGTATGAACAATACAAAAGTAACCAAGCGTTTCGTAATAGGTACGACTCCGACTGGCTGAAAAGGGAATCATCAAATGCTGAAAAATTCTGCCATACACATATTGGGCCGGACTCTGTTGTCATGTCAAAACCTCAGCAGGGTTCTGAGGACCAGCTCAAACACTTTCATGTCCTCCAAGATGGTGAACTGTATACAGAATTGCCTTACAAATCTTCCTGGTTGAATCTGAATGATAAGTTAGATGATATTGACAAAGAATTTGGCTTCCCCTGGACCTTCAGACAACCTCCCCTTGTTACTGATAATGGCAGCCAGATGGATACAGAAAAAACTGTCAGTAGTGAGCCAATTAAAAAGAAGGTGCCAAATAAAGAAACGGCCCAGCCTGAATCTGTTGCTTCGACTGAAGAAAATGATAGATCCTCCACCATCGAGTGTGCCCCAACCTCACCTTCTTCAAACAAATCGGAGGGGAGCAATTCCAGTGACTCTCCATATAGGTTCAAAATCCAGGTTTTACCTCCGGAAGAAGCCAAAGTTTTCTATGAGCAAAAACAGAAAAAGAGTCCTCAACATACAGATGACAAGGATAAGAGAACAGGGAGCGAGTCTGTGCAGAGCAAGACACCCGAAAGTACAGATGACACTTTGGAAAAAACGGCATCAGATCAAATTGACCAAATTTGCTGCCTGGCCAGGCTGCTGGAAATGCATTCTGGATCAAGCACACCAACTTGTAAATGCCACTGCATGGAAGAACTTAGTCAGACTGAATGTATTGATAAGACTGTTGGTCCTGATTTTGACGCTCTAACAGAAAGTGAGGAAGGCATTGACTGTCAAATCCTAACATTAGCTGGGCCTGAGCATTCCAAGAACCTTGGCAAAATCATTGACTTAACTGAAGACGAGGAGCATCTTACGTCCTCTGAACAGGAGGCGAAGGCCCCTTCTGAGACATGCAACAGTGCCCAGTCAGATGTCATCATTATAGATGACGAGAATGATGCACTTTCCAACAATGAACACGTCATCCCCAGCGAGACCATAGATCTAGAAGCAGAAATGAGTGAATCAACAAACGACAAACTCATCATCCCCAGTGAGACCATAGATCTAGAAACAGATATTAGTAAGTCAAAGGACAGATTTGCAGACGATGAGTTAAAATTGGCAGAAGCCTTGCAGTCGAGCGCTCCGGTCAGCAGTCCCAAACAAATTACATTTTTGGATTTATTCAGCACTGAAACTGACGTCGGCCTCCAAATTTCAGACCAGAAAAAGGACTCTGGACATTGCCAGCTTAATACTAAAGCTGAGGCTGAGTCAACCAAGGAAGATACTCCGATTGGTAGAAAAACTACTAATCTGAGTAGTCACCACGGTAAATATAAGAAACTTGAAAAAAAATGGAAGAAACAAAGAAGGCTTAATACATTTTTCTCATCTCAAAATACTTCAAAGAAATATAGGTTCTCCAATGGCATGGACTCCAACCATCTTTCCAAAGTCCAACATTCATCCAGAGGAGGGAAAAGTGTGGAACTAATGCTTTTTGGCTCGACAAAGAGAGGATTGTCTTCATGTGGAAACAGAATAGAACAGGCGCCATCTTCAATAGGTCTATGTCAAAAGATATGGCCTCCGGAAGTTCTGTCTGTGAGTCTTGACCCCTCCAAAAAGACTGACACTAATGCTGCTCCTTCAGAGGAATACTCAGTCAAACAATTAATCTATGAAAAATGGAGGAACAGTCTTCCAACTGAGGGTTTTTTGCTTAAAAGTAGGCACAGAAACGAACTGAAAATGCAAAGAAAACGCTCTGCTCCTCTATCTGGGGATAATCTGAGGAGGGAGAAGCAGCCAATTTCATCTGATATGAGAGACTTTAATGCAAACAGAAACTGTCGCTTGAGGGTGAAGAAGAGGAAGTTGCTCTCCAGCAGTTTAGTAGTAAAAAAGAAAAGGAGGAAGTACAGCGTTTTGCTTGAGCAGTGTGACAGTCAAAGTGAAAGCCAGGGTTCCCCGCCCCTCCAAGAGAATATAGTGATGAAGTTCAGTGTGTTACCCAGCAGCTTTGACTTCAAGGATGGGTCCGATGAGCGAAAGGGGATCAGTGACGCTGCTTCAGGTAATTATTGGGAATGTAAAACTGTTATTATTGGGTAGCGTTACCATGATACATGTTACATATGTGAAAGCAAAATGATAAAGCCAGTATTTTGATTACACAAGATCACACAGCCGTAAAACGATTTTGGTATTTTTGGATTAAAAATTTATTGATTCTGGATGTTATTGCTCCAAAGAAATAAATAAAATGTAAAGAAATATATTCCCCATCCTTTTTTCTAAGTGTAGACATTAAAAGGTCACCAATGATTAGTTTGACTTTTTTTCTTAATCATCCACAGTAGACTAGGTTGTTGTAGTGTCTGATGCTGAATACAGAAATATAGACTGACCTTAAGAATGTATTCAAAGGCAAACACATTCCAAAGTTAGATGGTACAAAGAGGTTAGAGAGAAAGATAAGAGCATCCTTATGACAAAAATTAGACAGACGACTTATTACCTGCCATTTTAGGTTCTTATGACAAAATATATGATTTATTGCCTTGTTAATGCACTATTAATGGTCTTTTGTCATGGGGTGTTTTGAGACCTTTTGGATCTCATTTTAGCGTGTTAAATCAGTGATACATGTATGGCCGTATTAGGTCAATTGAGGCCAACTTAGGCTTTCTTGTCCATGTCTGAAGAGGACGGGGTATGTCTGGTATGTTCTGTGTGTTTGAGGGAAGGGGGGGATTTAATGGTTGCCATCTCTTTTCCTAATCCTTAAGTGCACTCTGTTTTCAGATGCCCCCCACTTCCCTCTACCCCATCCTCTGTTCTTATTTTAACACAAGGTCCATTTTATCATTGTTGCTTTCAGGAATTTCCGATAGAAATGGTTTGAGATAACATAGGAAAAGCTGTAAAAGTTCAAGTATCGTAGGTGTCGGGGCAAGGACAAGTTGGTTGATTGAAACAGATTAGTTTGCATAAATTAGTTAGCCTGCTATGAGAGGAATTTACGGGTTTCTCCACTGATATAAACCCTTTCAAATGTCTCATGTGTAGACATTGACAGTGTGTAAATGCATTTCAGCAAGTCTGGAGTAAGAATTCCTAAAAAAACTGAGTTATAAGGTGCAGTGAAAAAGGGAAAAAAAGGTTTTCAGTGCGCAATTCTTTGTTGCCCTGGCTTTTTTTCTTTGTCTGAAGGATTTTCTTTTTTTTTCTCTTGAGGTTTAACAGACATGAGATTGTCCCCCTGCAGGAGGTCATATGGCACATCAACTGGGGGGTCCATCATTTTTTTTAAACCACACATGTTTTAACTTTTAGAAATAATTTCAATACACCCGTGCTTTTTATTTTTTCATTATTTTATAATTATTTAACTCTTCTAATCTGAAATAACTCTCTAGAATATTCAAGCTTTCTTTGGAAAAAAAAATCAGACTTATTTGTATGATTTTAGGTCGTAACATACATGATTGCTACAAATGAGTTGTGAATTATAAGATTGTTAAATTTTAACCACTTTGCTATTTTTCTTGTTCACTTTTTAGATAAACCAGTGCAAGAGAGAGATCATGCCTCCAACACAGATTACTTCAAGTCAAAAGGTAGCAAATTAAACATGGATTTTTTTTTTCAAAATAGGACTGATGTTCAAATACTTATCATTGTGAATATGCTTCCATAGGGACTTGGTATCCAACTACTGACAAGCAGCAACAGCCGAACCGTATTCCTAGAAACTCCGGTCTCTTCCATGAGTACAAGAAGATATTTAAGGAGAGGAATCGGTCATCCACTGATTAATAACTGAGCAACTTCAAGCATCAATGTCATTTGTGGGAATATGGATGTTCAAGATTCCTGCTGGGAGTACATTTTATCTGCTCCACTTTTGAAGGACGATGAAAATTGTTTACATCAAGTATTTTTTTTCTAACATCTCAAAAATGTATGAATTTCAATGCGAATGTGTTGTTTCTCTCACATGTCAATATTGGTAAAATATACCTTAAAAAAACATTGTTTTTTATATTTTCTATTGTGCTTTCATTTGTCATTTTCTACTCTACATATGTGTTTATTTAGATGTCATGTATGTGGCACAGATGGAAACGAATGTATTTCTCTGTAGATTTATGGTCACATTGTAGTAAACGGTCACTTTTTTACTGATCTGCCTGTAAATGTTTACAATTGATCTTTGAGTTTGTTTACTGGAGAAACCAGAAGTGCTTGAACTGTTTCCTGTTTCTAATTTCTCTTTCCGTCTGAGTAAATGCTGTGTGATATTCTTATGCTGACTGACTATGGTTTGAAAGGGTTCTCCAGAACAGTGGTGTGTTTGGTTATTCATTCCCAGTTTGCCTGTGGTGGGGGAAGGGTGCTTGGTGGCAGTTACCAAATAATAATCTAGCAACAGCTGAAGACATTTCTGAAGTGACTGGTTGAAATTATCAAAGGACAAAGGACCGTGACTTGTTAGTGTATCTTGAGTTTAAACAGATGCAGACACAAACACAAATGGATTTTGAAAAACGCATTCCTCAGCCAGAGCTGTATAGGTGAGGCTTATCAGATATAAAAGTGCATGTAGGAGGTCACTGTGTTTACACGATAATGTGATCCATAAAATGAGGGGTAAACAAATGATTCAGAGTCAGACTGGGCCACTTATTCACTTATGGGGCAAACTAGAGCCTATCCCAGTGGTCAATCAGACACTTGCCCTCAGCCGTCCACCCCTGTCCGCCAGTCCACACAGATACATACTAGGAGAAACAAGCTTTGTCTTTGTATTTGGAATGTACAATCAACCTAAGGTGCAGGTTTTTGGACGGTGGGAGGAAACCGGAGAGAACCCACGCAGACTCCACACAGAAAGGTCCTTGGTTCCCCAGGGACCAAGTAAAAGAAACAAGCGTGTTTTTTTTTCAACCAGGCTCATATCAGAAGTACAGATTAATGTGTCGTATCTGGAGGCATCCTAAATCCCTCACATTGCAGATCTTATGTGATGGATGCACTTATACTCCTTTATATGCGAATAAAATATTTATCTTGTCCCATTTTGTAAACTCCTGGGACTCTAAAAGTCTAAAAATTCATGTTTGTGAGTTATACACGTGTAGATAAAACTACATTTGTAAAAACAAAGGCTGCAGAGCCCCAAACAACAGGGAGCATTACTGTAGTTGATTAATTTTAATTTTAAGCTTGACCGTTTTTCAATGGCTATTTGTCTCCTCCAAAAAACAAAAAGAAGATATTTCCTTTGGAAAACTGTCTAGATGTTTTACTGAGCGAAGGGAATCTTGTGTAGTCTGGTAGTGTGGTACAAGATATCCACACCTGTCTAAATAAAAATGCAAAATAACCACACAATCACAGCAATTTATCTGGTGAGAATATATCTCATTCTTGCACAATGCCTTCCCTTTAAGATAAGCTTGATTGCCAAAGGCAATAAACTTGCCGGACTTCCTGAGAACCTCGGCATCTTTGAATAGTGACATCACAACCTCTGTGGGAGAATTTAATTTATCTTATTGTTGGGTCTAAATACGACTCCTAGTTCCTCACTATCAAGAGTTTAGTTATTAATCAATAGACCCAGGAAGAGGCATCAGAATAAAAAGGCTTGACACAGAGGATAAGTACTTTCTCGTCTGCAGAGGAGGGGAGAGACGGAGTGGACCTGAGAATGCTTCTCGCCTCACTCATCGAATCTCACTCCGCATTCCTCAAGCAGTCGATTTTTATTAGACTGATAGTTGATAAGCAGTGTACATATTATGAGATAGGAAAGTATTGGACGTCATGCCCTTATCAGGTTTTTCCCGGTAGTTGGCCTGTTGATGTCCAGACCTTGGAAGATACAGATGGTAGACAGATGGGAGTCAAAACACACATATTTTAGCTTATCACTAATGTAAATACGAAAAATAGCTTCTACAGTCACTGTGTTCCTTTCCTTAACAAACGCTGATTGAAAAATAACGGTTAAAAAATTTACATTTTTGACAGGGTTACAATTATCCCGGTGAGAATTCATCTTAAAGACAATAATTTTCCTTTGGGGTAATGAGTCGAGTTGTAACAGATCTGTTGGGTAAAAGAAATGCATACAAGTTATAAGTTATAAGAAGAAATGGAGGAAACAGTTGATCCAGATTCTTCCACTATTTAAAATTGAAGGGTTTGTTAGAATTGGATCAATTTAATGTAAATTATGGTTTTGTAAAGCATACTGAATGAACTCATGTTATGCCTGTGGTTGTGCTTCCAAATTCTTCATTTTTTTCCTATGAGACATTAGATAAACGTCATCAAGGACAACACTCACACACACCCACAATTTCTTATCACATCTCAGTAGAATCTTCATGGACTGGGAGTCCAGAAGTTTTACGATAAAAGTAATTTCATTACTTTCATCTTAAAAACGCTTGTGTAGCTTGGAGGGACACTTATTGCTCAACATTTAGTAATACACATATAGAGAAGTTAAATCAGCAAGTCTCAGGGTCTCGGGGAGTGAATGACCCAAAACATTTATGAATATAAAAGTGAAGTGAGACATAAAACAAAAGTGAGACGTTCAAGATCTGAGACATTCCATGTTGCACCAGAGTGACACATGATACATTTCAGAAGGTAACAGCAATAAATCTCTCACAACAGCAATAAATCTATCACAAATCTCTAACAAATGGGACGAAGTTTCAATGCCTCCCACATCCTGTCACACATCCTGGGAACGATGAACTATCCCTCCTGAGTTTTGTATATGTCCTTGACATTCCATATAGGGAGTTACTTTCTCAAGAGTGAGGTCCAAGCAAAAATCTTTGCGTGTTCTGTAATCAAGAGACTGCCTGTTCTTTTTTATCTACTGTTCTGTATAAAAAAGGTGGCGCGCGCACTTACTTGGGTTTTACTCTGACATGTGCCTCAACCGCTGTTGCCTTCGAATAAAACACCTTTCAGACAAGATCGATCTTCTCTAATCATTGAGAAACTTTGTTTCAGTCATTGATAAAGGTTCACAAAGATTTTTGACTTGTCGGCAGGATCAAGGGTGCTGAACTACGGGGGAGGATTTCAAATTCGAAAGAGGGGGAATCTGAATATCACCTCCTATGTCTACAGCCACCTGGATCCATTCAGAACTTCATCGGGTGAGATATTTTTTATTTTGAAAAGATAAAAAAAAAGGCCATCTGGATCGGAACGTGTGAATGAATGGATTGGATGTTATTGGTTTCCTAAAGGTGGCTCTTTGAGTTTAAATCAGATACCAAAATTGAAAGAACAATTAAATAATTGTGACAGAAAAATTATAGAAATAGGAGCCCGCTTTGGGGCCTATTTTTCTATGGTCTACAATTAACCAAAACGTGGAGTGGATCAATTACTTGTTTTATAATCAATTTCACACAAAAAAACCTGTCGGTTGATTATGAATTCTCGGCAGCCTCTCTATCAACTTGGGAAAATCGGATGGTTATAGATATGCTCCTCATGGAAAGGTACAGGGCCTGTGTTTTTTTGGGGGATAGATGTTGTACCTTTATTCCTAGCAACACGGCTCCAGAAGGCTCCGTAACCAAAGCTTTGGATGGACTGCGCTCCCTCAGAAAAGAGTTAACAGGAAATTCAGATGTTAACACTTCAAATTTGAGATTTATTTACTCTGTTTATGGAAGTTGGGAGGAATTTGGGATTTCTCTGTTGGGTTCTCTAATTGGTGCTGTGTGCGTTTTTGCCTTGGGGGGCTGTTGCATTTTTCTTGTTTTCGGGGACAGGTGATTCGCTACATAAAACGTAGGGTTGAACAACGCATGCCCCAACACTCTGTGGCCAAGCCTTCTTACAAATGCCTTAATGATGACGATAAAGATCATCAGAAGCTTTTAACTGTTTAGAGGTCAACACTTGTATGACGCTCTGGTCTAAAGTGTCCACAGGGCTGGCTGTTCATTTTGTATGAGGTTGTCTCTGCATGATGAAAAATTCTTTCCTGTTTCTGTATCCGAATTTTTATATTGTGTCTTATTACCTGCCGTGTTCGAAGTTTGCAATGACCTTTTAACGTTCTTCTTTCAGATTCATCCAGATCTGGTATATCTATCTTTGCTGTTTGCTGTTTTGATACAAGCCTGATTGAAAACAAAATCTTCATACCAAGTCTGTGTTATTATTGGTTATTTTTGGGTGATTTTAATTTACTAAAAAATTGTTTTCAAGTTATATCCATATTTTCTTTTTAAACAATGACATGTAATGCAATTGTTTTTAGATCTGTGAAAGACCTCTCTGCTTTTTTACTATATAAGTGAATTAAAAATAATTGAATTACCTCATGATTGTGGATTGTTATTGTGCAAACTCAAATTGCACAACTTCAAGAACAGCTTGTGCTAAGACGTATGTTATTCAGTTTTCATTGATTGTAAATTGATTATTAGGAAAGCAGAAGAGTCTCTTTGGGTGAGGCCAAAACACATTGTACTTAAACTACCTGCAACAAATATCTACAGAAAAAGTTAGAAAAAACATGATCGACTTTGTAACTGTGTCATCAGACCTGCAACCCTGTTTGTCAGATGCTCAGAATATTGCTGTCAACTGATCACCACCTGGTGGTAATTAACTATTCTATAAATCGGTCAATAGTAAGTACACTTTAATAACAGGAAATTATGGCATACCTGCTTTCACTGTAAATGACCAGAACACCAACCGTGGCTGTATCAACACCAGATGATCTGCATCCGCACACACTACAGATATTATGCAACGACAGAAGTTATATGCAGCGTTATAAAGGTGCCAGATCCTCACATCCTTATGCCAAAATCCTTGATTGATGGCCTATGACTGCTCTTTATGTAGCTATAGCTTCTTATGACAAAACATTTGATAACCATGTTTGAACAGGTCCAAACATGGCCATAAAGACCTAGGTTGTCCTCAAATGCTCTAACAAAGTGATAAATCAAATATTTTGTTATAAGAACCGAAATTACCTAAAAACTACCTAAACAATACAGTTAGTAGCCCATAAATAAAATATTTTGTCATGACGATGTTCATTTTATTTGTTACATGACTTCATGTTCTGAACCATAGGTCATGTCAAGGGGGGTCTAGGTTTGCAGAAATAAAGTATTAGGGTGATATGACCAAACACTGCTGCGGGTGAGACCATAGTTCTCCTCTCTCACACACTGAGGCAGCTCAAACTGAGCCAGACGATGCAGGAGCAGCCGAATGTTGTGTTCTTCAAACTGGGCCCGTCCGGGATCCCCAATCAGGACTTTGGTGCCGTGGGTTTGGATGCAGAGGTCTAGCCAGTTATGAAGACTTGTGGCAAGAACCTCATCATAAAACATGTCCCCCAGGAGGATCAAGTCAAAGCCCTCAATCTGAGAGCCAATCATGTTGTCTGTGACACAAACAGGCGGTTCGACAGCATTCAGCTCACAATTCATGCAGGTTGCAACAGCTGCAACTGAAACACAATCAGAGAGAAAACACCCATTACTTTGATTATATATATATATTTTTTACAATGCATGATAATTACTTCCAGAGCTGCCAAACAGTCACTTACGTACAGCTAACAAACCGGTTCTAATCCGAGTCTAAGGAATTCATGAGAGAACATAAAGGTGGGAAAAAGGGAGATTTTAAACAGCATATGACAGAAGTGCCGTACTGCACAAGATAAACATTTACCTTGGTAAGAGATCATGGATGTAGAGCCCATGTATGACACAGGGCCCAAAAGATTAGGGTACCTTATTTGTCTTATGTTGTTTTATAGTTTGAATGTTTGAAAAAGGTCTGAATCAAGAAATAGAGAAAGAAATCTTTGGAAAAGTTTTTATATCTTCCTGCAGAAGTCCATTATTGGGCTCTTTCGATGATGAAATTGGATTAATTTTACTTCAGTAAATTGGTTGGATTTTTCTGGTTAATTATTATGTTTTTTATTTTGTAGGGTCTGAAGTTCATGGTTAAACACAGTTTTGTTCGTAGAGCATAAACACCTGGGAAAACATATTCCTAAAGTAGAGTGTAAGGAGGACAAAAAAGGAGATGTTCATGGTACGGACAAAATATATTCTAGCTGTACGTCTGGAGGGAGATATGGATAAAACCATATTCGGGCTGCACGCTTAGATGAAAACAGCCTGACGTAAGACAAAAAGTACAGATATGGGAGTTAACCTGATTCTTTAGTTGGAAACCTGAGAATAAACCAGAGTAGATCAAAAGTAAAAAGTTTACATTTATTTGGTCACACGCAAAGTATATCAGTGCTGGGCTCGTGACAGACAAAAGCTCCCTCTCAGGGTCTCAGTCGGCCAAGAGCCCCGAAATCTGGGGTTGATGGGCATTATCTCCTTGACTCGATCTGCCTCTTCAAAGGAGGACTGGACACAACCAGGTCCTATTGGCTAGTTACCTCGGGTCATAAACTTCCCACAACCTAATTCATGCAGATAACATTGGAATGTGGTGTGTGTGTATGTGTTGACCAAAAAGGTGTGGGTCTAATTCAACAGAGCGAAAGAGAAAAAGGAGAGAGTCTGTGGGCACAGCCAGAGACTTGAAGCATCAATCTGTACTTCTGACTCAGACATGGCTGACAATAAAATCCTCTTTGTTCCACCAAGTCTGCCTCAGCAGAGTTTTTCCTGCAGCACCTTCACTTGAGCCATTTGGAGCCATCCCATAACTCACCACAATTTCTATACAAATGCTGTTTATGCATAGAATATTATTTTTTTTTCCCACTTTACTTTTCTCCAGAAAACAACTGTTTTAGGTGGCACGAATGCATCGCAGATTCAGAAAAGATACACACCGGTGTCTATGTCATTGGCCACTACGTGTGCAGCGCCGCAGAGCTGAGCAGCGATGGCCGAGGCCCCACAGCCACTCCCCAGATCCAGCACGGCCTTCCCCCGACACACAGCAGGGTTATCCAGGAGGTACCTGCGGGGGGGGGGGGGGCAGCCACAGGTAAGGCGCTGACCTACAGCTGCCTTACAGCTGTTGTTCGTGACAGAGAGATAAATAAAACATGCCGCGGACCTGGAGAGTGCCTGCCCTCCTGGCCAATAAATGGCCCAATATGGGTCTTCAAACGGCCATAGTTCCGGCCTCTCTGTCCAGAATCGACAGTTAGGAGTGAATAATCTCAGTTTCACCTCCGGGGTCAGACTCTGCTCCCCACATATCTCCGTGTTCTCTGATATAAATCTTCTAATATGCTCATGGGAACTGAAAAGCTCTGATATGTTTCTCTTTGTTAGTGCAATCTTTCCGAAACACCTTTTAACGTATAGTAAACCTTTTCGGGGCGATAAAAGTCTCAACATGATCCGTTTTTACTGGAAAACAGAACCGAGCCTACAGAGAAGCATTACGTTAGCGTTAGCTGCTAACTACGCAAACATCGATCATGTGCATAAAAACGACTTTAGTATTTGTGTTAGCGCAGAATAGGTACTTGGACACATCGTAGAGCAGTTTAAAAAGATCTCGACAGGGCTACTACAGCTGTGCCAAACAGTCATGTAATGCCAAAATACCCACGGACCAACGAGTATTCATCCGTTTGGAAACAAAACTTGCAATTATAGTTCCGCTCTGAAAGGTTCCTACATAATTTTCTCTCAAAATTATAAATAAAAAGGGGATAATTACACTGTTACTGATATGCTCTTAGATAATCAGTGATTAATGATGTTTGTTTGCAGTATAGATTTTTAGTGTAAACAAAACATACATTGCTAAGTTAAATATGATTTTAAGTACAGTAAAATAATACAGAGTTGAAAATAAATTGCGAAGAGTAGACTCTTAAAGCCGCTGCTTATTGACAGGAGATGATTTTGATCTATGCAAATATCGAACTATCAATAGCTTAATGATCCAGCAACAGCCAACTAAAGACAAAACAAAGAAGCTTCAGTGTACCCTTACATCCTTGGTCATAGAAAAAGACAGTCGAGTCACTTGAAGTCAACGTGTTATTTTCCATTTTAACTTAGATAGATAGATAGATAGATAGATAGATAGATAGATAGATAGATAG